AAAACCTCGACGAGAAGATAATCTTCAATGTCCTGAGAGACTACAAGATCCTCAACTGCGAGGTCCTAGTGCGAGACGAGAACGGTACGCTCACACCAACGGCCCTTTGGCTTATACTCCAGGCCCCGTACTAACAGACAACCCTAGCAACAATCGACGACTTCATCGACGTCATCATGAAAGACCACAGAAAATACATCAGATGGTACCAGCCAACCCTTACTCTTCTTCGCCTCCCACTCCATTAGTACTATTACTAACCCACTAAAGTCTCTACGTCTACAACAAAATCGACAGCGTCAGCCTCGACTTCCTCGACCAGCTCGCCCGCGAACCCCACACAGCCGTCATGAGCTGCGAACTCGATCTAGGCGTGCAAGACGTCGTGGAACGCATCTGGACAGAACTCCGCTTAATCAGAGTATACACGAAACGGTAGGTGCAACCCAAACGCCGTATTACACAAATCCCGTCGGATAATTGACAATCATGCAGGAAAGGAGAAGAACCCGATTTCTCAGAGGCGCTGATCGTGCGCAGCAACTCGACCATCGAGGATGTCTGTGACTCGATCCATCGGACTCTGAAGGAGACGTTCAAGTATGCTTTGGTCTGGGGGGCGAGTGCGAGACATATTCCCCAGCGGGTGGGACTGGGTCATGTTGTTGCGGATGAGGATGTGGTTTCGATAGTTGCCAAGTAGGCTGGACATAGTATGCTAGGATATTATGAATGAACGAATCCGAGGATTGAACAGTTATCGACAGTCTAGAGTAATGACATCTTTAAGCTACTTCCATGCTCAGATAACTTACAAGGTTCTGCAAGCGATGACTTCTGGGTGTAAGGTCGCTATACACTGATAAGACAATGGCAGTGCTGTCCGGCCGCTAAGGCAACCTTGAATGTCTCGGTTGCAGATGTAGTGCTTACAATTGTTGCCTACAGCAGTTTACACGGTGATTATAGGAGCAAAATTCGTAATTGCAATTGATCAAATTAATGACAAAATGATTCCAATATATCCAGCCCGTATGAACAACCATGACTCCAGAACAGAAGAACAGACCCAGCAATTCATTAAGCGGCAGTGGCAGCAGCAGCAATGTTCTGCATGCCGATAGTGGGCTGCACACCGACACGCTCCTTGGCAAGCAGATCAACCAACAGAGGGCTGGGGAGGCTGTCCCGCTGAGGGTGGAAGGCAGCCTGGCTGGCCTTGTACTTGCGCACACTGTCAATGTAGATATCGAAGAGGTAAGAGGAGTCCAGAGGACCTCCCTTGGCCTCGGGGTGGAACTGTGTGCTGAAGATGGGGCGAGACTTGTGGATCATACCCTCGTTGCTGGAGTCGTTCAAGTTGACAAAGTAGGGCTTCCAGTCAGAGGGCAGGGTAGACGCATCTACAGCGTAACCGTGGTTCTGACTGGTGATGTGGCAGCGTCCGGTGCTCAGGTCCAGGGCGGGGATGTTGTGAGCACGGTTACCATACTTGAGCTTGATGGTGCGAGCACCAGCGGCCAGAGCAAGCAGCTGGTGGCCCAGGCAAATACCAAAGATGGGCACCTGGGAGGTCTCCATCAAGCGACGAAGGTGGTAGGTGGTCTCCTGGCAGTGAGTCGGGTCACCGGGGCCGTTGGAGATGAAAACACCGTCGAAGTGGTGGGCCACCTTGTGGATGGGGTAGTCGAAGGGGAACACAGTGATGCTGGCGCCACGGCTGACCAGACTACGCAGAATGTTCTCCTTGACACCACAGTCGATAACCGCGACGTGGCACTGAGGATCGGCTGCGCTCACGTGGAAAGGAGCCTTGGTGCTGACCTGGCGGACGAGGTGGATCTGTTCAGGATCGGTGAAAGCCTCGTCTTGGTCGGCGTCGTACTCCTCGCCAACGGTGATGCGAGCGAGGGAAGAACCCTGCTCCCGCAGATAGGTGACGATAGCACGGGTATCGACACCGGAGATGGCAGGAACGCCTTCACGAGCACACCACTCGCCGAGAGACTCGACGGCGGTCCAGTGGCTGTACTGCTCAGCCACATCGGCCACAACCACACCAGCAGCCTGGAGGTTGGGGGACTCGAAATACTTGAGAAGACCGTGCTGGTCGCGCTCAGCAGAAGGGACGCCGTAGTTGCCAATCAAGGGCTGGGTGAAGACCAAGATCTGACCACGGTAGGAAGGATCGGTCAGAGACTCGGGATATCCGACCAGGGAGGTGGTGAAGACGGCTTCACCGGAGATGTTGGTGCGAGCTCCGAAGGACTTGCCGTGGAAGATCGGACCATCTCGGATCGTGAAAGTGGCACGCTCATGAGCAGGACGCTGCTGACGAACAGTGGCCATGAATCGAGCCTGAATGGAAGCATTCACGGAAGTGAAGGCTGAAGCCCTGGCGGGCATAGCCTTGAAGACACGAGCAAACATTATTTGTTGATGGAGACGAAGAATTGTGGAAGCGAGCAGTTATGCGGGTGGTCTCAATAGTTTCCGGAAGCTTTCCAGAGGTGATCCGAGATGTAGTCCTGAAGGTCATTAAGTTAGCAATGGCTTTATATTTTGTTTGGCCGCATGGTGGTGGCGGGTATGACATCCGTGTGGCCATGGGCAAGACAAGGACAGGACATACCTGAGAAGTGAAGACGGTGGGTGCCAAAACCATAAGCGCGACTGTGCTGTTACCAGTCACTGAAATATCTGTTGATGGAATGGGTGACTAAAAAGACATGAATCGATCAGAGAACGATGATGTAGTTGTGTTGCGGGCGGGGGTATTGATGGATGATGTCTAGGACTGACAGTGGATGGAGAGGAGAGGAGAGAAAAGGAAGAGAAGGGAAAAGCGGGCGAGAGGCAGAATTTGAGGGTCGCAACAGGAGCTGCTGCCGCAACAGTTGCGATCTTCGGCCCGGGTTGTGGCGGCACGTGCCCCGCTACACCGATTGTCAGGGTGATGGACCAATCACAGGAGCTGCATTTCGAGTTCCGCGATCGGAGGCACTTTTCCACAGCCTTTCTTTTTTTATTACAATATGGATTGGGCAATTCTGCGGCAATTGATAATGCGATTATCTTCTTGATTGTGATCTCTACATACTTGCAGTATCATAAGTGGATAGAGAGTCAGAGACACCGCTCATCAGAGGTACCTAGCCTTGGTGCACTAAGGCATCTCGATCCCTCCCTCACACCGCTGTCATCATCAATGGCTTATCTTGAGCGGTATGACTCACCAATCTGGTCCCTATTCTCAACAGCCAAGATGGATCCTCTAGACACCTTTGACAATAATATGATTCATTGGCTAAATCAGAATACCCTATATCTAGTCTAATTGCTATGGTAATAGCGAATTGGTGGATCTGTTATCTTATCATTTGACGTCAGTGTGTCGAAATAGATATCTGAACACGCACTTGTAGAAGGAGAGGGGAAGAACTATCAATTTATCGGACCTACTAGATACCTTTTTACAACGGGTACTTATGCTTCTGTGAAACCGTATCACTTGTCCTTCCTGAGTAGGGAATACAAAACCATCACCCTGACCTTTTCACTGATGAGCAATTGCGAATCGGCGACTTTCACGGAGTGCGAGCTTCATGCTACGCCACCTCAAGCATGACTGTAGGTGTACAGGGTAGTACTTTGTCGCACAGCTTTCATCAAATCGGGAAATTTCATCGCCGGGACGTCCAAGACAAGACGAAAGCCATTGCTATATATCGAACACAAGGTTCTTCAGTAAAGGGTCATAATGTCATTCCCATCAAGCAGTCTCCCTAGTAATCAATGGTTTGCTTCAGCTACCTCCTTCAGGCCCTGGTAGCCATAACCCTTCCAGCAGGGATCCTTGGCTGGGGCGTGCTACCATTTCAATCCTACCAACACCAGCAACAGCCAGTCCCACAATCCCAATCTCCCCTAGAAGCTCCCGGGTGCGATGGTTCTGGCATTGTCGACCCCAGTGGCCGATGTAATGGCGACGGTCTTGTCGACAGTCCCCCAGACCACCGCGACAGAGAGGGATTCAAGTTCGAGAACCCCTCGACGGACTGCAAATACGTCTCGCAGATGCACATTTGGGACTCATTCAAAGATCTGGAAAAGGATATGAACAAGCTCTTCACCCTTATCCACAAGAACGTGAGTTTCACCGTGGTCGGACACCATCCCATTGCAGGTCACTATAACGATCTGCTGCATTTCTATGTCAATGCCCTGCGGCGAGTGAGTGTGCTGTTCCTCGACCATGCGGACAAATTCGAGATCCACCCCCAAGCGATCCATGGAGGCTGTAATGAGCGATGGTCTGTTCAGGAGGTCAATTTCAGGGGGGTGATGAATTCAGGTGAATCCGCGTCAATCATTTTCAGGGAGCAGAGCTGACATGAGACAACACGCAGGAGATGACTTTGACATTGTCAACGTCTGGGTAACTCGATGGGATCAGGGGCAGATGGTGGAGATCCGCACATATATCGACTCTGCCCGGATCATGGAAGCACTCCATAAGAACGAAATCTGGTGGAATGGGACCACCTTCCGAGACAATATCCACTACATGCCTGGTCCTGCAGGCATGCCTGACCTGAAGAAACTGGAGGATCTCATGGGCTATCCAGACGGACGAAAGTATGAAGATTGAGACAACTGGTTTATCAGTATTAGCGCAATATCGACTGAAATCATAGCTCTGCATCTTTATTTAGTTAGGCATTTATACTCTACAATATTTAATCAAAATGAGAATCCGTTGTGGGTTATGGATGAGCTTCGGTTGTACGGAGTACAGCAAGAGAGAAAAAGTACTCCGTAACCAGTTGGCCCTTCCAGCGTAATTCCCAGACCACTTCACATGAACACAACCAAAACAATAAATAATCCACCCCGTCTGGAGTACCCCATTACCCCGTACAACGTCCCCACAACTAAGGAAGAGTCTCCTACCGCAAATTGTTTATCAAAGATTGCTGATGTGAAATGCTCTGAACACCATGACTGAGCCAGGACCGCGAAAGCGCTCCAGAATCGCCTGCACATCATGCCAGTCGCGCAAACGGAAGTGCTCCAGTGACCAACCATGCAGCACCTGTGTACAGTTGGGGGCAGCCTCCGAGTGTCATTACGATATTCAATCTCGCAAGAAGAAAGATGTCAAGATATTTCGGCCATCAGTCGGTCTATCGATGCGTAGACCTAGCGTCATCGAAGAGGCACCCCGGCCGAAGAGCCAGGAGCAGTCGACCCCTGGGGACTCGACAAGCATCGACGTCAGTTCCCTCGAGGCCAATTCGGGCGCTGCCTTTGTGCGCAGATTAGGTCTCAAGCTGGATCCAGCCAATGCGCCGAGGTTGCATCTTTTCGCCTGGAACGTCGGGGCTCGTCACCCGCCACCATCGTCCATGCCGGCCTCGGTCACAGCTGTGCCCATCGTAGACATCATCTCCCAGGACGAGATGCGATCATTGATGACGTTCTACTTTGAAAAAGTCGATCCGTGCTACCCATTCCTTGACCGAGATGTTGTGCTCCGCCAGGTCAGCAGACGATGGCTGCCTTCCTCGTCCGAGTCAGCCCTGCCGTATGGGCCCTACGATGCGGTACTCGGCGGAATAGCGGCGCTCGGATTCCTCTTCTCACGGCGACGAGCCGTCCCGGCGGAGTACCGAGTGGTCGAAACCGCTCGACACATCCTTGAACATAGTCTGCTCGTCGACAAGCCCGCGTCGGTGGACATCGTCACCGGCTGGGTGCTCCGAGTCGCGTACCTCCGCATGACAGCATCCCCCCATGTCGCCTGGATGGCCAGCTGCACGCTGATGCACCTCATCGAGGCGTCGGGTCTCCATCTCGAGCCCTTGCCAGATAGCTCCCTCGGCCAGACAACAACACCTTGCGCCCCAGAAATCCGCCGCCGACTCTTCGGCATGGCCCGCCACCTGAACGTGTGGATCTCCTTCGAACTCGGCCGGTCCCGAGTCGTCCCGCACGGCGCAACCTCCCTCCCACCCGCGCCACGATCCCCAAACAGCCCCTCGGAGATCTTCAACCTCCTCCCCGTCTCGGAAAGCCTCGACCCGAAGCAAACCCAAGACGCGCCCGGCCTGGAATCCGCCCTCGCTGCCGTCCTCGGCGTCGTCCACGTGCAGCCACCCCTAATCCTCGCTCAGTGCAACCTCATGCTCTGCCTGTACCGGCGCCTCCGCGCCCTCAACTCCAGCATCTCCGGCGACCTGCTCGACCGCGTCCTCGCCCTGGCCGGCACCGGCCTCCGCGCCGCCCGCGAAATGGTCGCCTCCGTCTGCCCCTGGCACCAGATCGCCAACGTCCCCTTCCAGATCGTATGCACCCTCCTCGCCCTCGACAGCCGCGCCTCGCTCGCCCTCCTGGGCGAAGCAATGCGCACCCTCCGCGAGGTCGCCACCGCCTACGACACGGAGGTCATGCGCGAAGCCTACAGCACCGCCTACCTGCTCATTCTCCTCCATCAGCGCCGCAAGGAAGAAGACACGCGGGCCCTCCGCGATGTACTACGGGTTAATGCCAACGCGACCGCCGCGGCGCCGCAGGTTAGCGTCGAGGCTGCGGGGGGAGGCTCTGGCTCGGTTCAGCGCCCAGCGCAGCAGCCGCCGCCGCAGTCCGTGGCCAACCTCTCGGAGATGGCCTGGCTGGGCGATCTGATGATCGATATGCCGAGTTTGCAGAATTTCGATCTAGATCAGTTCCTCATGACGGATGTGCCGTGGCCGTTGCCGGAGATGGGGATTTGACGCGTTGCATATATACCTGGTTGTGTCCATTTAATTGTGATGGATATTGTTCGAGGTAGTGAGATACCCTTGTTTTTTGCTTACATTACTGGCATTCCTGGTTTATGACTCAGTCCTTTGAAATAATATATACATGGGCATCCATTTGTATTGACATAAACGCTACTCGGCCTTGCCATCCTTGTCTTTTCTCTGGGTCCTTGTCCCTGTGCCTGCCGTCCGCACGACGAGGCCAAGCTTCCACAGAACCCACAGCAGGCCCAGCCCAACGACCACAACCGTCCCCAGCTCGATGGTCCTGCTCCGGAAGAATCCACCATCCTCTCGCAGTCGCAGAACAGGTACGTCCAGCTCTTCCACAAGCCGGTCCTTGCCCTCCGCCGGCGCCGGATGTAATTGATAGAACATCGTCCGGGGGCCGAACAAGCCCTCCCAGCCGAGATTCACCCGATCAAACGGATTGACACCCATCTTGGTGCCGTCTTCCGCCGTGCACGCCCAGAAGACGATCGGCCATGGGACCGCGGCGGAGCGGTACCCAGATTCGGAGGGGGGCAGGTATCGCAGGTGCAGGGGAATCGTGGCGTTCCACACCTCGGGGCTGGTAGCCGGGTGAAGGGGCGTTGCCAGCTCGAGCAGCCAATTTGAGCCCCGGCGGGAGACGAACCAGTCCGGGGCTTCGAGGTCCGTTTCTCCTGCTACGGCGCGGAGAGCGGCCAGGTTGTGGGAGTTGAGGAAGAGGGGGTCTGTTGTTGAGAGCTGGTATTTGTCACCGAAGATCCACGATGGCAGGGTTAGATACGTGTGGAGGGCGCATTTCGCGTCCGGAGGTGCGGGGGGGCGCTTTAGCGAAGCACGGGGCATTGAGAAGGTCAGAGTGGGATGTAGCCCGGTTGGGGCGGGGAAGGAGACGGTGTAGGTGGCATCAGCTGGGAGAGGATGGTGGCGCGAGGGAAATGAGAATAAGGTCGGTTCTGGAACGGCGTCAGCATGGTCCTAACTTCGTCTGGTCTCTGTATACAACGTACTCAACTTTTCGTCCTGTCCGACAACTCCAAGTAGTCCACCCATTTTCAGTTCCTTGGGCTCAAGGGCGCTCTCGACACCGAGGAGCCCGACCTCGACCTGGTGTGTGTCTGCGGCATGCTTCTTGATCTGCTCGGTCCATCCTTGGTCTGGGGATTTCGACCAATACCCAGACACGGTCAGCGCATGCGAGATGCTATCATAATTTACATCGACCGAGTCGGCAGAAAGTATTGATTCCGCATGACGAAAGCATTTCTCGTCCGACCGGTCACAGAACTTGTGCTGAATGAAGGAGACCAGATTCTGCAGGGAGGGGAGACGACTGTAGTACTGGAAGGCGGCGGTGGTAGCAAATCGTTCCGAGAGGATAGGAGGTTGGATAAAGGAGGACTAAGGACCCGAGAGTTAGAGTACATTCCTGATTTCACTGGGCCGGAGGAACTGAACTCACCCTGAGACCGTCACATTCTAGCGACTCATCGAATACCTTTTTTAATAACGAGCACAATCCTTTCCTGTGGCCTGTAATTAACGACTGCGCAAGAGACTACGTATCACAGATACACACCCTGTCTCCGCCGATGTCCCAGGGGTATAGTAAACATGCAAACCAGGCGATATCCGACTGGAAAATGGCGCTCCGATCTCATAAGGCCGCTCCGTAGCCCACCGGATGTGAAGCTCGTGACTCGATTTCAGAACCTGCCAGATCTATACATATAATAAATCAGTCGAGATCACTACTAATTGTAGAGTCCCAGCTTACCTCTGAGGGAAGCTCATCAACGCCGAATGTTGCCCGCTCTTCGCGCGCCCCATCCAGGTGGGTAATGGACAGCGCATCGCTCGTTAGCACGGCCTGGTCGACGTGAAAGGGAGACTCTGGCTTCTGTACAAACGTTATTCTTCGTCGCATTTTAAGCCAAAGCTCTGAAGCTTGTCTGGTAGGTGGTTGAGCGGGAGAATGAGCTGTTGGCCTAGGTTGTTCTCCGCCGATGACAACTCCGGTTAGCGTGTCTCCTAGGGGCCGATAAGATAAGAGCTTCCACCTTTTGCGCGTATGCTATCATTTTCTTCTATATTTTGTACATCAGGGGTCAAAAGTCTGTGCACACTCCGCGTATCCGCGACGCGTCAAAAAATCAACATTCTTTTTAACCACTATCTATTCCATCAAAATGAGGTCTTTTAGCACTGAAATTAGTGGAAATAGAAGGCCTAAAGCTGAACTATCTTCTGAATCACGCGCAGCTATTTTATATGGCCTAGAGAACCAGGGATCACCTATATAACTAGTAAAGGAATTTGGTGTTAGTCACAGCACTATTTATAAGATAAAAAAGTAATTCTAACAGCACTACACCCTGAAATCAAGGCCTCATACTAGTAGACCCCATAAGCTTAGTGCCTCTACTAAGCATTATATCTACCAGATGGTTAGACAGAGGCCCTCTATAAGCTAGAATGCCCTGGTCGCTAGCACACCTAGGGGGGTGTTAAGGTTAACTATTTAATGTGTTTTAAAGAGATATAACCTTAGGAAGTGGAAGAGCAAGAAGAGAATCCCTTTAAAGCTAGATATAGTTAAGAAATACTATAAATTTATATATATATGGCTTGATTTTCCTCACTAGGAGGAAGTACTATTTTCTAATAAATATTCTATCTAAAGAAAGCTAAATAATTCCACCTAATTTATCTTCTAATTCTTAAATAAGGCATACTGGCATGATCTAGTCAACTTAATAAATTATAAGAAGAATATTTCACAAATAATATAGGGTGTAATCTGGATTGGGGGCTATATAAAGCTAGTAATTATAGATTATAATAAATTAGCTCCCTAAGGGGGGTATTCTACTAATTCTTATCTAAAATACCTTAAAGATAGCCTCCTTCTAATCTATAAGCCTGGCACAATATTCTAGCAAGATAACGCCAAAATCCATATATCTTACCAGGCGCAGGAGTGGTTTAAATCTCATGGAATCTAGATTATAGAATGGCCTCTATATTTACCTAATTTAAATCTAATTAACACCTCTAGAACCTCCTAAAGAAGAAGCTTTTATAGCTCTATCCTGACCTCTTCTTAGGAGGCAGATCCAAGATAGATTAGACCTGGTTTTATAATGCTATTATAGAGGCATGGGATGCTATCCCTCAGGAGAAGATTAATAGTCTAATTTGCTTAATACCACATTAATTACGCGCAGTTTACCAGGCAAGGGGATGGTATATTAAATATTAATATCTACTATTCCCCTATTTATTCTTATGTACTGAAATAATATGGTGGTTGAGAAATAGGGGATTGAAAATGGCTGATTTTTTCGATAATTTGGTGTGTAGCCAGACTTATGACCTTTTAGTTTAAGCCCCATAACAGTCTTCTCTGAGGTTATAAGTCTACGTTCAACTCTACCTAACTTGCCATTCCCTCGGCTTGCCTAAAGATAACTTGAACAACAACATAAATGCTGGACCAGGGACAGACTTTCTCTCACACAAAGACCCCTAGAGTCCACATTTCAAAGCTCCGTCCGAGTTCTGTGATTCGACCAGTTACAGCATATCGCTTCATTGAGGAATCGAACTACTCTCACTTTGTAAAGAGTCTCTTAAAATACGGTCCTCCGAGCCGAGAGTTCCAGAGTCTGATGACGGTGCTGACAAGGACTATCTACCGCCCAGCACAAAGAAGCAAAAAGGACCCAATTAGTCCTAAGCTTATCAACACCGCTACATGCACTGCTACCAGCACCACCACGACTGCCAGGTCTTGAGAAGTTGTATTAGACATCGGGTTTGCAGTCAGGTGCTATTCATGTCATTCAAGAAACAAGCTGGACTACCATTAGTGGGACTTGCTAAAATTGATGAACAAAATTCTTGCCATGTGCGTGATTAGGGTGGAATAGATTCAATGCGCTATCCTACCCTATATTCTGTTTTTTATACTATGATGAAAAGCAATCACTGAATATCCACCTTCACATACTCCCTCTCAACCTCCTCCTCCACATCCTCATGTTCTTCTTCCTCTTCTCCCTCAATGCTCAATTCACTATTTGCACCCTCCTTTTCCATCTCCTCCATCTCCTCGTCGGGTTGTCCAACTTCTCCCTCAACCCTAGGAAGTGCAACCCTCAGAACCCCATCAACCAGTCGAGCCTGGACCCCTTCAATGGCAACGGTATGGGAGATTGGCACTTCCCTTTCAAACACCCCCACATGACGTGCTCTCTCCTCAACCAGCAAAGCCCTGTACATCTCCTCGTCAACTTCAGGACGGTGCACAACTCCAGCCATGCGGAGTATCGAATGCGTCGCATCATACGCAATACTCAGATCCGACTTTTGAGCTCCCGGAAGCGAGACATGGACGATGGTTTGGGTAGCTGTGACAAAGATGTCGACCGGTGGCGTGAAACTGGCTGCGTCGTGTGAGTGGTGAAAAGAGCGGAAGCGAGGATGCATATGGTGGAAGTTGTAAAAATGATGGCCGAAGCCTCTGCCCCCTCTCCCTCCTGGACCTCGTCCTAGTCCGCTGCACATTCCCCATGTGTGCAATTGAGGACCTAGACCACCTCGTCCGTGGTGAGAGTGGCGGTGATGATGCCCGAGTCCTGGGCCTTCATGTGTAGCACATTGGCTGAATCCATGCTCTTGCTCATGTCCGAGATGGTGACGAAAAAATCCGCGACCAGCACGGCCACGGCCACAGGAATGACCGAATCCGAATTCTGGCTTTTCGGGCTGTTCATCATCTTCCATACGCTTTTTGGCTCTTTCCTTGTGCGCCTTTTTCCCACATTTTGAGGGCTCCCCGGAGCTGCTTTCGAAGCTGTCATCGTATGGAGGGGGATGAGGGTGAGCAAAGAAAGGATGTTCTTCTAACATGGAGATATCCCAGGTTAGAGGATGCTGACTGAAATGGCATGAATGCTGCATATTGAGCTGGATGACTTATGATCGTATGTACTTGATCTGGTCTGTAAAGTCTGCCGGTTTGAGATTTCTACGGATCGACTGCGGTATATATACCCGTCCAGGGCAGCTACAATGACCGTCATGACTCACTTGTCGTACGTACACGTACGCCTTGTGACCTTGACTTGCCGCCCAGGCAGACAAATACTCGTCAGACTCACTGTGAAGACGTGGTGGTATTGGTAGGCAGAAGAGACTACGCATACTGTCATTGCCGTAAACGGATATCAAGTCCGGGGTTTTGCCTCCCCGGACTCGGTCTCGGCATTTGGTATTCTCCGACTGTCATTTCTCGGGGTTTTCCTCGGAGTCGGGCTCGGAGATCGGATATAGATCAAGACCTCCAAAGATTTATCGCTTTTGATATGCAACTGCAGGGATGTGAGTAAAGCATCTACCAAGGTCAGGAGTGCAGGTTCAATGAAAGATGCATGGACAGACCAAGAATGTGTTTTATATTAAACTATCAACATACAGGTGAAGAACGGACAGCAGGCCATCCAGCTATCCATGCATTTTCGCTATCTCCTTGATCATAGGGCTCGCAGCGCGGATACGATGCCTCACAAAATAGAAAACAGTCGGAATGGCAATGCAGACAGCCTCGACGATCCCTAGCAGCGTCCCAGCCCAGCTCAGCCCCAGCGCTTTATACATCGCTGGCCCCGCAAGCGGCAAACATGCGCCCATGATGCTTCTTAGCACCATATTCCCCGCCAAAGCAGACGCAGCGTAGATCCCATACGACCTCGCCAGATAATTATTCGCATAAATGAAGACACAGGCATTACCCGCACCGAAGGGGACACCGGCGAGAATCGGCACGATCCAGTGGACGTGTGGACCGCACGTCCAGGAAAACCATAGCTGGCCGATGGCCAGAAGCGTCGCTCCCAGACAGACAATGCTAACCATTGCCTCCGGGAGAACGGTACCGGTTTCCGGATCCTTGCGGTGGGCGTTTATGACTCTGTGGAAGAGAGGTTCGAGGGCTATAGCTATCAGGACGCCGACGCCTATTCCGATGAATGAGAGGCCGGCGATGCCTGGTGGCCAGCCGCGTTCCTGTTGGAAGGCGATGGGGTAGGCGACGAAGCAGAGGTAGAGGATTGCATAGACGATGGCGACGTAACTATCCCAGAAGATACTGTCATTGTGAGCTTGGTCTTTCAAGCAAGAATTGTTGGTGAGGTGCCTACCATATTGGCTCTGTAAGCATCATCTTAGCGGCCGACTGAGACTGGTTTTGAGAAGGGACATGAACCCTTGCTGGTGATCATAGCGCGTCCACCACTTTGGGTTGTTTGTCTCCTCTCGTCGCTTTGCCGCTCTCTTCTTCAGAATGACCGGCGCATAGGTCTCTTTGATAGAGGCGAGCAACACCAAGACCACACCACCAATGATTAGAACAATCCGGTTCGTCCATCTCCAGCCCAGATACTGAAACACAAATCCTCCGATAATAGGACCATACACAGGGCCATTTGCCGGACCAATTGACCAGATCCCAAATGCCAGAGCACGATGTTCATCTGATATGACATCGTTGACCGAGGCAGGCGAGTTGGACATCATCGCACTGCCGAAGAATCCCCCAAAGAAGCGGCTGACAATGATTGCGGCGATATTCTGCGCCAGCGCACTAGGCAGAATAAGGACAAGGAACACACTCATTGAGATGATGTAAACAGGCTGTCGGCCCACAATCTCACTCAGCGGAGCAACGAATAGACTCCTGACAGCTATGCCCAGAAGATACGTCGTGACGCCAAGTAGCGCGGTGATCTTTGAAATATGGAAATCCTCCTGCAACCCGGGAATTCCAGACGTGTATAATGTGCTGAAGAGACTAATGACTATTGCACCCAGGCTCATGGCCATCACGGTGAGGCCCTTGTACCATAAGGGCCAGGTACGCGGATTCTCGGCGTCGGCGCATTCCCAGTATACTTCATATTCGGGGGGATTCTGGACGCTTGCAACCTGGGTGACTGGTGGTTCAATGTTGGAAGAAGGGTAGCCCTCTGCACCGGCCGTGTAGCTGCGCGTCAAGTCGAGTTCTCGCTCTGGCAGGCAAGTCTGTCTGTTGGCTTCTTCATCAATGGACGACTCCATCATGTGCCAGCTAAAGGAAGAACAATGCCAAATCCTCCAGACCACTGTCGACTATCATTGCAACCGAGAAATAGCTAGTGAAAACAGGGATACACATATTTATAGCAACTTTAGGGCTCCCCAGTCAAGCTCTTCTCACGGCCGACGGCAATCCTTAGCGCTGCGTCTGATTGAGAATCTGATATTATTAAGCTTTAGGTGTCGAGTTAGATAGGATTTCTAATCCCTATTCTCGAAAAGGGCAACATTATTCAGATCCTCGGAGAATTTCGAGTTTTCTACTGTGGATAAAACTTGGTATATATGTCTTGGCGGATATTGTGACTGTTTCGAGCAGTGAACCGTTCGGCATATCCCGATATCCACTTCTGCATAATGGGACTTTGTCTACCTCATATTTGTCAGACTGAGTAATCCTTCTGATGGGTCTGTTCTATGAGTTGTGCACTCTTCATGTCATTTCCTCCAGTATATAAAGCTCAGACAAACATACTCAAAGAATATCAACATATCTAGACAATCGAAAGCGCTTTCTTTACTATAACAATGTCTCCAACCTTGAACATCACTCACATCGGCACCGCCACCGCCATCCTCGAGATCAATGGCGTAAACATGCTCACCGATCCCTTTTTCTCCCCCGGCGGCACAAAATTCCCAGTCAACGAAGTGATGCACGTCCTCGTTGATGACGACCCTGCCCTCCGTCTAGACCAGCTCCCCGTCATCGACGCCGTCCTCCTCAGCCACGAAGACCACGTCGATAACCTTGACGACCTGGGCCGCCGCCTCCTAGATGGCCGTCGCGTCTTCACAACCGTCGACGGCGCAAAGAACCTCTCTCCCCATCCCGCAGTCCACGGCCTGAAGCCTTGGGAGAGGATCAATGTGACCATAGCCGGGAAGAACTTTGAGATCACCGGCACGCCTACTCAGCATCTCCCCGGCGGCGAATGCATAGGCTTCATCATCATAGGCGAAGGGTTCGGATCTGGTCGTGACGACCTCCCCCAGGAGATCTACTTCTCCGGCGACACCGTCTATATCGAGGATCTGAAGAAGATGGCAGAGCAATACCATATCTGCGCGGCGGTGTTCAACTTGGGTAATGCGCATGTGCCTTCTGACCTGGAGGACCCGAATAGTCCGGCTATACAGATTACCATGGATGGGAAGCAGGCGGCGCGGCTGTTCAGGGATATCAAGGCTGATGTCCTGGTCCCTATGCACTATGAGTCGTGGCATCATTTTACGCAGTTTGGAGAGGAGCTGCGGCGGGTGTTTGAGGAGGAGGGGATTAGTGAGAGGGTCTGCTGGCTTAAGCCTGGTGAGGTAGTGTCGGTGCTCTAGGTGCTTGTCTGTTTTCTACATACCAGCATGGGAGGGGCATAGATTTGTCATAAGAGTTCATTTTCATACATAGATTTATAGATAAGAAGAAAAACCTACATACTGTCATCCTCAATGTTGAATTGGGCAGCATTAAGCTTTTTAATTCTGTAGACGAAAATCCTTCGGGATTTATGCATAAGACACGCAGAGCAGCCAAGAGTAGCTAGGCACAAGTTAGCGGTTAGTAGAATGCAATTTTGTCTTCTTCATAGTTGTTGTATTCCCTGATGTGTTGACCCTACTGCTATCATCCCTAGTAGCTAGAGATGGTTGTCTGGACGCTTTTTGGCTGAGTGGTTGGATGTATGACAATAGTTACATACTACCTTATGCTATGTGGCACTTTGTCATGGGAATCTGGATTCCCATATGATTATATTTATCTACCGAGGAAATATACTAACACCTAAGCAGACTAGTCTATATTAGCTCCCCTTTCTTCACTCTTCTCGTACTTGAATAAATCCCGAGACTGCGAATATAGCCCATAGACCCCACACCGATCTGGCTGGCGGTTAAACCACTCATGTCATCTCCCTCAGTGCAGCAGCAGCGGCGAAAGCTGATCAACTCTATTCTGCGTCATGCAAAAAGTGGCAACTGGGAGAGTCGGAGCTAGCTTCTGGATGATTTGGATGTGATGGCAGAAGGCTTGGAATACCGCGATAGCAACCTACTTCACGAAGCAATCATCGGCGGTCATCCCGGGATCGTGCTGCGTTTAATCGACCGAGGCTTCAGCGTGGAGGAAAAAGGTCCTAATGCATATTCCGTCATGTGTATGACACCGCTGCATCTCGCAGCACAGTACAACCAGGTCCAGATCGCACGCATCCTGCTCGACGCAGGCGCAGATCCCACCCGGCTGGATGTTACGGACGCGCAGGAGACACATGTCAACTGCCCAACCTTTCCCCAGCGGTTCCCCGGTCCCTCCCCCTGGACCACAATCTCAATCATTGCAGCACTGAGCAATCCCCTCCCAGCCCCGGCCCGGTTAGCCGGACGAGACGGTGCATGCTTCGGACCAGACGAGTAAGATCTCCCCTTCTCGCCGCCCGAACAGGACGAGTGACGGCCCCTCTCTTCAGACCGGGATCGCTCCTGCGTCACCTCGCGTTCCCACTCATCAACACCCAGGGCCCGTTCCACCTCCGTGAGCAGGTAGGATTTCACCTGGATTGCCATTAAGATCTGCAGCGTACCGTAGTTGGCTGGCCGGAACCCACCCCACTGCAAGGGCGGGATAACGGGGTGTATTTGTTGGCGATAGTCGGGGCCCCCGGCCATCGATTGTACTGACAGTGCGTGGACGAAATGCGATACTTGTGTTGAGACGGTGGTGTAAAGATCGAGAATCCGCGCGTAGCCAGTTGTAAAGAGAAGGGCTGTGGGTAAATCCGGGCTCGATGGGTCTCCTCGAGCTGTACTTGAAGAGGACGCAGGTGGAGGCATCTCGCGCTGCGTATACATGTCTATGGGGACAAACGAGATGACGCATGGCTGGATGTGTCGCTGTCTGGGTAAAAGGCGCGCGATGGTGCTTCAGGTGTGGGAGTGGGACGAGATGTAAGGGGAGTGGGCAGGGAGGCGAAGTAAACGCTCGTTTGCCTTGCAATGTCGATAAAGTGCTGTGTTTTGTTAAAGATTTCAATCAATGGGTACCCGTGAGCGAGCGTGTCGTCGGATTGGTCACCGCCACAGGTGCTTAGTTTCGTGATGACAGCGGCTGGTGACGCGAACATCGCGCCCCATGGCTCGGCATGAAGAGATTGTTCCAGGTCGAATAGCGACATGTTGATGTTGGAGAGCTCTCGCGTGATGTCATGCAGAGAGTCCAGTTTCTGGGGTGCGCCTGTTAGTGGAGCAGGGGTGTCCTCGGTGGTTCTGGCTTGGTTCCCCATGGGGGCCATCTGAAAATAGTCGGTAAAATTAGGCAGCGGAGGCACGCTCTCCGGTGACCATAAAGATGGGAAAGTGTTCTCCCGCGAGCTATAACGCGGGCTTGAAAGGCTGAAAATATCCGACATGTTCCAATCGGCAACTGATGGAGGCAGAGATGGTACTCTCTCGGACATCTCGACAGCCGGAAGGTTGGGCTGGGTACTGATCTGGCTGGCATGAACGGGCTCTCTCACACCTCCTGGACCGTCTTCCTCTGATGTCAATTCTAAAACACTTAAAGATCGTTTGCGACGCTTCTCCGCCGCATCCAGGCGGCTGCTGCCGCGCTTGACCACCTTTTCTTCCACGGTAGTCCTTGCTGGGCGGCCGCTCCGCGATGGCGGACTCCAGATACACTGACGGTTCAATCGCTGACATCGAACACACAGAGTGCAGTTTTCCAGTTTTGTGTAACGCAGCTTTTGAGCATGACACTGATCGCAGGCAAGGCGGCGAGCAGACGGATTCACGATCACTCCCACATGAGACAAGGGGGGCTGGGAGGGCATGGTTCCTTCTATCCAGAAGAAATGCAAGAAGGAAGTCACTGGTTAGATTTCAGTTATTTATCCTCGTCCATAGCGAGGCAGATGTTCGAATGGTGGATTCGATTCGTCACAGACATGTTGCGATTTGGGAATGGGTACACAGCAAGCCATTGGGATAAAACCAGAAAACATACATTTTAGTTTTCTGAACAGTTAGCATTTATATTTTCTACTAGTAATAAAATTTAATAAGTAATTAGTAGTAGAAGGCTAGCAGCTACAAGATCAAGGTTTATATAATATTTAGGACTTTATGTATAAAAAAATAAAGTAAATTTTAATCTACATAATATTCTATAAATAAGGTATTACTGCATGTTTGATAGGCCCTATGCATAGGCAGCAGGCCTAACTTTAAGGTCGGAGAAATTTGATTCTAAAAATTATTTAAATTTTGATTTTGCATGGTTCTCCATTTAGATAGGCTAGTGACTAGTGACACCCTCTAGGCCCACACGGGCCACCCCCATCTCACCCATGCCCATGGTCGTGCGACGGAAAAGCGGCGATCAGTGGTTCTCCACTAGGCTTAACCCAATGATTGGCTAACACACATGCTTCATGAAGTGTGGCCGGACATATGACCCAGGTACAGACATCCACCTCTGGTATATATACCTTAGTATTCCAACCATTGCCTGCTTTATTGTTGCCCCTGCGCCTAAGCCATAATCCTTTAACTTAGTGAATATTAGGCTCCATCTCCTCCCGTGAAGCCCCAATCTTTTATATGAGCTATTCTTCACACTCTCCACCACCAACCTAGACTGCAGTTGAAATACCTGTTGGCTTTAGGTAGGCTACACCTATCTTAAGTCGAGCAAAGACACAGTCAGTTAAAACACCACTACCTCACATAATACAGCACTTGTTCCTTATCATATAGCAACATGAAGATGGAAGACAGGGACAGCTCCAACCCTCACCCTCCCAGGGTCAACAAGAACTGGACGGTTTATGGAGGTGTTTGTGATCATGTCTGTGACGACCTTTATTGCCAGCACATTTGAAGACATCTTCTTTACACAGGTTGGTAGTCGATCTGTTCTCCATCATGTGATATTCATATCATTTTATATGTTGTTTTCTTTCCTGTATGAGAAGTACAAACCTGTGTAGATATGTACATCTTAAAAGTGTCCCCAACCGGAGGTAGTATGAAGCATGTAAGATGTTCCGTCAATCGAAAGCTGTAGTCAAAGTAGTGGTGAGGTTAAGCCAGATGGTACCGTATGGGAGATTAGATCCTTGATGATGTTTTCCCTAAAGAAGGATAGCCCGGGTATATGAAGGCAAAGGGAGATTAGGAGCGGCTTGGGACTTTGTAAACTTTTATGTTAACCTTAGAGATGAAAAATAAAATTGCACTGGATAAAGCTGGATTATACTAGGGGATCAAATGTGATTTGACAGTGTCCAATTCACCTTCCTATTGAGGGCTGGCATAACAAGATCCATGGTTATGGTTTCAGACCTTCACCTAAAGCACCCAGGGACTCCCGCCTTGGCATCACAAGAAAAAGAAAGAAACACAACGGCATGTGTTCTAACTAGAAAGAAAGATCTGAACTGCGGTCGACTCGTCATTGATTTAACTGATACCTAAATCAGCAGCCTAAACACTCCCTAGAAAGTCGCGCTCAATATCAAAATCGCAGTGCATGTGATCGACCCATTCGATATCACCGCACGACATAGCCTAAGTAGCCCCAGCCACGTCCATTGCTCTCAATGCGAGCGGCTGCGTATCATCTTCACTATTTGTATTGTTGGCTTCAATCCACCCTGCTGTGACAGCACCTTGAAGCGCCCAGCTGTGTCCGTCAGTGGAAAGCCATAGCTTCCGTATGCGCGGATGAGGAGGTTTCGTAGTCGCCAAAACTTCAATAAATTTCTTTAAACAATCTTGGTACCAGGGAGGCTCCTCCGGGAAGTCTAGAATTTGCAAGCCATCCACACAACAGGCCATCACTGATGGGCCTAAGGGTAATAAATCCCTCAACAAGCCGATTGCGTTTGGAAGCGACTTCGGGTCTGCACTGAGGCGGCGAATCCGAGCGGGTGAGAGATCCGGCATGTGTTCGGAATCCAATGCAAAGGATAGATCCGATGGGATCAAGCGCACCATTTGAGAAATCAGAGCATACACCATCTTCAGGAGCTCTTGTGGGCGGGAAAATGTTTGGTAGTCTTTCGGGTTATAGTAGCAGAAGTACGAGATCACGGGAACACGTAGTTTTCGAAACTTGTTGACGATGAATGCTGTGGTCAGTGTGTTTGGGCTTATTTCTCCCATCATTTCGGGACCCTCGAGCCATAGCGCCTCGGACGAGATAGAGGTTGTCCATTGTAGTAGACGATGGTAAACCTGGGCGTCTGCGGATAGGTAGCTGCACTCCATAAGCAGGCTCGCCTCTCTCTCGGACGATACGTAATCAATCATCCATGCCGTGTCCTCCAGGATGGTCTGAGTGGTCCAGCTTTGGCCGTCATGTCTATCTTGCTTGTTGGACGCTTCGCATGCTACTGGAACAGCATCTCGCATCCGAGGCCGCCCGAGACTGATAAGCTGAGAAGCGTCACGCTTAGGAGTAAAGCCTGAAATGTGATTCAGCAGCTCCAACGGTACGCCTGGATGGCTCGTACCCAGCCTTGAATCCAAGTGTGACCCGACCATCATTGCCTGAACTAGGGCACCCATCCCCTCGCGCACCTCGTTCAATATTATTGAGTTGTTTTCATCACTCAACTCTTTGATATGATAGTCAAGGCTCTCAATCGAGCTTTGGAGTCGGTTCCTGAAACTGCTCCCGAAACTATTCTTCCAGCGCTGAGCTCGCGAGAGTTGCCACTCCTGGAGTATGTGAATTAGAAGCCCGAATAGATTCGAATAAAACTTGATGATATGGGATTTGATGTACTCGCTCCGACTTGCATTTCGGATAGTTTTGAATAACTTGTGCGTCTTATCGGAGAGCTTTTCGAGGCAGTCTGAGATTAGCTCTGCAATGTCTTCATGCTCTAATGTAGCCTGGATGGAGAGTTTCAGTCAAACAGTGTCTCAAATGCTAAGGAGATTGAGCACTGACATTAATGCAGGCGGTTAACCCTCCGATTAAGATTGAGGTATACTTGTCCCCGGAGGGAAGCATTTCAAGGAGGTATTCATGGTTGGAGATCCTTGCCGCCACTTTCCGGAACCATTCTTTCACCCTGCCTCCCTGTGACTGTTTTTTTGCCTCCAATTCATCTTGTACCGTGCGCACAAGCCCCTGGAGCTTATCCGCTGTCGGATCCTTGATAAGTTCAGCGAGATCTTCACTATGACCCTTCCGCTTCTTCATAACCTCCTTGATGGCATCCTTCCAGGTGTCTTCGAGCTCCTTCGTTATGTCATTGAGGTCATTGAGTTCGGAGGATTCAACGAACGAAAGAGATCTAAAACTGCAGCCAGAATACATGACAGTCAGAAACCAAGACCGAAAAGCGAGTGTATGTATGGCTTACACATTGCATTCTGGTGCTTTTTCATTCCGATATAGGCGAACGGTTTGCTCTACCGATTCACTGTACCGTCTCTTTCCTTCACTCTCTTGCTTGACCTCCCACTTTACATGCTCATTGAGACCTTGCCTGTCATGTTATTTGTCAACGAAATCCCAGCTGATAAGACGTAGGCTTGACAATTCCGGACGAGTCACTCACACCAACGGCTCCTCGGGCTGCTCTTTATTGATTTTGAAACTAAACTCTCGCAAATTTGCCAAAGCCTCGCTTGCCTTGTGCTTGAATAGACTCATGGTGTCTTCAGAGCAAGGTGAAGGGTGAGATTCGAGACCTGAATCTTGAAACAAATTCCGAACAAGCTCATGGGCAAGCCAAATAACCAGGACAGATAGGCAAGACAATACAGGCTATTTGACTAGGCAATGCGGGGGCTGTCTGTTCTTTGGGGCACGAACTCGCTTGGTGCTTTTTCTTATGATACCCAAGTACGGCTCATGGACACTTCGCCCGCCCAACTCGCTGTCGGCTTGCAGGGAAAAAGCAATATCCTCGTATTTCAGGTACATTCAGCTGTAAATTACCATTACTATGGCTGTGCGAGGACTTAGCTCCTGTCATATATTAAACCACTCAGTGTCTAGACATCCATGTCTAGCTAAGGTAGTAGGAGATGGATAGTAGTAGCAGGGTCAACACGGCAGTGATACAACAGCTCCCATCCGTGAGGTCCCGAACAAGAATGACTCCCATCTCAATGAAAGCAAGCCGCCATGTTGAGCTACTTCGATTATTTTAGCACTTTGTCAGTGCGTTGATAGAGGTACGATGCAGACCACCTCAGACCCCTCCATGTCTGACATTCTCTACGGTCTAACATCTGGCGTGGGGGGCGCTGTGACGGAGCTTTTGACGTCGAATCAAGATCCCGAGATCCCCGGCGTTGACAGGCAGCATCACACGCCGCGCAGCATTCGCTAGCCTTTGTGCAAATATGCATGTAGCAAACAACTCTCGGAGTTTGCTACAGCAGTGCGAGGTATTGAGTGCGGGATAAGACAGGGGCTTGGAGGGAGGAGCTGAAAGGTGGGGTAGAGAGGGAGGTTCAGCCCTCCTACTGTACTGTTAGACGCAGTCAGCTTGACATCCATCAGCGATTGGATTAGCTACTCCTCCTGCTGCTGCTTGTGATGGTGGTGATTTCCTAGTGTGTTTTGACAATGGGTCACTTGGCCAAATGGACATGTTCTGTGGCTGATACTTTGCTTACGCGCTACTGCTTCTGCTTCACTTAGGCCATTAGCAGAGCGCTCCTCTCACTCTAGCACGGACACGTCAGGATCTACTTTCTTTTTTTGTTCTCTTTGTCTGCAAGACATTAGAGGACCCCTCGGGTTCATACACCCTGAAAACCAAAGCACTGTATCTAACCGCTCATCTCCGCAGGAACTAGCATCTCAAATTCGCGCCCGCTGCTACGAATCGAAGTTATATATGACTTTCTGGCTCCTTACCTCAGCTTAATCCAGACGCCAATCAACCGCTTCCGCAAGAGTTTTCTCTTTTTTCCAAGCCAGCTATACCTGCCCGTCACTATGGCCTATACCGACGTTGAAACCTCAGTCACTCTTCAAGTGGTTGATGATGCGAAACTCTCTTCCCCAGGGGAAAGCGAAGCATTGGTCGCTACTGAGCAGGTCGAAAGATCGGAACATTTGTTTCAGCCCATCAAATATTCCTATGAGTGCTTTAACTATGATGGCAGGAACTTTACAGAGAGTCACGCTGCCCCCTTGAATCTCGAAGTTGTGAAAGAGGCTGAGCAGCTCGTCGCAGAGGAGCAGTCCTGCGTGTTTGAGATAGCGACGGGAGTCGAGGTCAAGCGGCCTCGTAATGGGGCTCACGAAGATGATTATGAATATTCACTGACCTGGATGGAGGTGCGCGCGATCAATGAGGCCAAGATGATAATTCACTCGCTGCCGTTGCTGGATGCCATTCGAGAAATAGTCAAGTTCTACCCGAGGTTAGTCTCGTACACAAGGAAAGGAAATGGTGACATCAAGACTGATAAGGGGCCACAGCCAGAATCTCATCGGTGACAAGGTCACGGTCTACGAGCCATATATGGTGTTAATCCATCACATCCGGGAACTGAAAGAGCTGAAGGATCGATTAGAGAGCAGTGTCGCCGCCAGACCCGATGATCATATTTTGGAAAAGTGCCGCCACATTCAGGTCCTGCTTGATTTCTTGAATCCCAGGTTTCAACGGACGTTGGCCCAAGCTGACAAGCGACTGCTCAAAGAAACGCCCACTGTTGTCTTCGAGGACATCTGGTACCTTCTGAAGCCGGGAACTTTGGTCTACTTCCTCCATGATGGTCTATGGCTTGGTGGCGCTATTGAAAGTGTGAGTCGCAGGAGCAAAGACAGTGACAAGAAAGAGGCCTGGATAGTCAACATCTGGTTCCAGGATGTTGGAGCGCATTCACACGTGCTTGCCTGCGCTCCTCATTCCATTATCATAGAGGCCTTTGATGGTGAGAAACTTGTTACCAGTCTGCCAGTGCTCCCATGCCAGATTCACGACCGTCAGGACAATGGCACAAGACGGGCGGCGTTTCAGAAAAGGGGTGCTTTAATTGCTGACATCATGTGGAGTGGCTATAAGTACATGAAATATAGTGGGATGACAATGGATAAGAAGAAGAGAAAGGTAACCCATCTCCGAACACATAAGAACGCAGTTGCTGACGTCCTCAAGTATGAAGGCCCTATTATAATCGGTCCCTGTGACCTAGAGACCGAGTTTCCCGAAAGCGACTGGATATTTGATTGGAGTCCAACCGATATCCTGAATGCAAAGGCCGAAGATAAAGATAATCGAGACCCCATCCATCCGACACTTCCACTTGATCTAAACGTCGATGMAAGTGATAAATCGCTGCTTTCCGATGATCACTTCTTAATGATGGTCCCAATCATGGCTGCATTTGCTTTGTCGACTAAGACTTGGGGTAATTTTAAATATCTGGAACCGGTAGAAGAACATAGTTTTGCTGACAAAACGTACAGAGTTTGTGAATATTGACTGGGCAATGGAGATGGATAAACCAGACGCCATCCCGGACGCAAACACAAACCCCGAAAATCTCGACATCATCAAAGCCTTATCAGATCGCCAGATTAAAACAAAGACTCCTTGGTCTGCAGATTTTATCAAGGATAAAGGAGAAGGCGTTGTGGTGCTACTTCATGGTCAGTTGTGTGCTTGATTCCGGGGAGTCTCCCATATCTTAGCTGACATTGTGGCACACGACAGGACCCCCTGGAGTTGGAAAGACATATACCGTAGGTAAGCTATCGAGAACACGCACTTGAAGATGCACATCCAAGATTCTGACACCATTGTAGAATCAATAGCAATCAACACCGGTCGTCCCTTGATCAGCCTGACAATGGGAGATCTTGGGACCGAGGAAGACGCGATAGAAACCCATTTGACGAAATGGTTTGCACTTGCTCAGAAATGGCGGGCAATTCTGCTTCTGGATGAGGCAGACATTTTCCTCGAACGTCGAGAACACAAAGATCTCGCCCGCAATGGAATAGTTTCTGGTAGGCTCAATTCTATGCACCCTTTATGCATATGGGTCACTGACTGCATCGTCAAAGCTTTTCTCCGAAAGATGGAGTTTTTCAGGGGTTTGCTTTTCCTGACTACCAACCGAGTCGGCCACATCGATGAAGCATTCATTTCACGGGTCCATGTCATCATCGGCTTCGAGAAGTTAGACCCCGATCAGCGCAGAAAGATCTGGAGAAGCTTCCTGGATAAGCTCCGCGCTGAACGGAAGGGCAAGATTCGGGTCACCCCGGCCTGCGTCAATTATGTGCTGGGAGACGAGATGAGCTCCATGGAGTGGAATGGACGTGAGATCCGGAATGCGTTGCAGACGGCCATTGCCCTAGCCGAATACGACCTTCGTAGGAGCGAAGACTATGAAGAAGGGATGGAGATCACCGTTGAGGGCATTCACTTCCAGAAGGTTATGAAAATGAGCCGGACCTTCCGCGAATATATGAACAGCATCCAGCGGGATACAGAGGAATATCGCGCCACAAAGTTTTACGGCCGCAACGACTATTTTCGGACGGATAATCCTTCAACTGCGTCATCTGCCACGCAGAATCCGAGACCGGTACAGTTCGCTGGGCGGGAGAAGCATGATTTTGTATAGCTCTTGGAATAAAATATGCCCTCGTCATCAGTCCGGGGGTTCAATGTCTTCCCATGTATCTCATACTGGCCCTTGGAGACAGGAGCAAACTATCCTCTTTCTCTTCCATAGCGGTCTGACAAGAACTGTTGATTGACTGCCCCACTCGGCGGGGCTGGACACCTACGGCAAGCCATTAGGACAAAACCGAAAGAACGTAAATTGATTATTAGTAAAAATGGGATTTTATGATTTTCTGCCAGCAATAAGCACCTAACTGTTTTTACTGCGATCGTTGCGATAATATACCTATTCTTAATATACTTATAGAAAATCAATATTTTTATATGAAATATACCACTCGGTATGGTAATTATTATCATACTAGAGAGGGAGTTGCATCTGGAATATTAATTTGATATCTACGGCCCGGGGAGAAAGTGGGGGAGCGGGGGAGCGGGGGCGCCTAACTGTATTTAGTCTCGCTCCGTAGCTTCAATACACCTTAAGCTCTCCATTCCACACCAACATTTCTGACTTTTCGACGTCCTCCGTCTATTGATTCCCCAAAATGGAAAAGAAGACATGGGTAATGCTTGGTAAGGGACCTAAGACCACTTGTCTTTGAGTAGAAACTCATCGCAAATGGCAGAGAACAACCCCGATGTAATGAACCAATTGGCAACAAAGTTGGGTCTATCGTCCGAGCTCCAATTCTACGACGTCTATTCCCTGGATGAACCCGAACAGCTCGCACATATCCCTCGACCTGCCCTGGCTCTGCTGGTCGTCATTCCACTTACCCCAGCTTGGGATCGCAGTCGCAAGGCCGAAGACGCTAACAAAGAACCCTACACTGGCTCCGGCCCTGACGAGCCGGTCATCTGGTTCAAGCAGACCATCGGCCACGCCTGCGGCTCGATCGGTCTGCTCCATAGCGTGATCAACGGCCCGGCCGTCGACTTCATCAAGCCTGATTCCGATCTCGCGGCGATACGAAGCCTCGCCATACCGCTGGATATGACCAAACGCGCCGAAATGCTGTACAACAGCGAGCCATTCGAACGTGCGCACAAGTCGGTCGAGCAGGCCGGCGACAGCTATGCGGATCCGACGAGTGAGCGTAATGGTGGGCATTTTGTGAGTTTTGTCAAGAGCGGTGGGAAGCTCTGGGAGCTTGAAGGGTCGAGGAAGGGTCCTCTGGAGAGAGGAAGTCTTGCTGACGACGAGGACGTTCTCAGTCCGCGAGCGCTTGACATGGGCATCAAGAGGATCATCAAGTTGAACGCGGATGGAGGAGGAGAGTCTCTTCTTTTTAGCTGCATTGCTTTGGCTCGCAGGCCTTAGGCTCTGACTGGATCGGCTGTCTGCAAGTCACATGACTGCGAGGTGTAGCCCCGCGGAGGTAGCATTTATCTATCTCTGCCCCACTTTCATACCAACCCCTGACAGAGATAATTATTCCCTATCTCAGCAGCCACTAGGTATCAAATCACTATATAGTAGGGATATTGAATCACCCTATCGAATCGTCATATAGTGCCATATCAAATCGCCATATAGCAGGGATATCGAATCACCATATAGTATATTGAATCGCTATATCAAGTCGTCGTTACTATATGATGATTCAATCTGCCTACTTTTGATATAGTTAACCGCTTGCCTCTTTCGGCATATCGCTTCTACCTTCCCGATTCCGACTAGATAGATTACATTCCTTAATCCTTATATGGCCGAAATCGGTCGATTACCCCTATCTGGATGCCCGCATCCGACGGTATAAAGTCTAGTTAGTCAGACGATACGGAGGCGTGCACCAAAAGTGTTGACTGCTGCTAGTAAGATTGGCTGTATCCTGCTGACGCAGCCCCCTAGTAATTTATATGGTAACAGGTCTAGGAGGAAAAATATTTGAATGAATCTGTCCATAATAGTGATATGAAGCTATTCAAATGTCTTCCCAGTCTAGATCTTTATGATTAGGCAGCTGTCCCTTAATCTATCTTCCTGACTAGTTATGCTTAGGCCTATCTTACCCCTCTTAGTATTCATTCCCTCCTTGTAGCTTGATAACCTCCTGGATATGGTGAATAAGGCATTAAATCCATTATTAAATCTTCTCCTGCGGAAGCTCATTCCATGCCTTTATCTAAATAGCTTTACCAGTCTTCTTATCTCAAGGTGCTCTATATTTAGTTATAAGTCTCTTTAGAAATAGCCAGCATGGCTTAATAGCATTTAAATCAGGCGAATTCCCTGGCCAATTTAGAAGCTATTAAACCATATAGATATTATATACACGCTGTTAACTATGGTGGATATGGGCCAGGGCCTTATCTTTAAGGATGACAGTATTAGGTTAATCTTTCTAGCATTCTTTTGTGAAAGGAATAAGCTTTGGAATCAGAACTTCCTAGTAAGGAGAAGTTCTAGATTAGTATGCAAATTACTAAGATTAGAAGAACCTCTACTTACCTTTTAATATCTCTACTAATCTATTCCACCTTTTGCTGCCTTCTAAATATATTTACTATTCTTCTCATTCCACTTCTAAGTAGGCTTACGCCCCCCAATTCCGCGGAGATAAAGGTGATTTATAGTAGTATTTATCTCCCATTCAGTATGGTAGATAGGCTTAAGTTCCTGATTTAAGGCTTTAATTTCTATCTCAGCCTGCTTCTTCTGTTATGAAGTCTCTGGCTCCCAGATATAGATAGGGCCTTTTTTATCATAAGAGAAACACGCCTAAACCATAAAATTAGATGCACCTTTCCAACGCCTCTGTACACATGTTAAATTATATTGATCTTCAACTGTTCACCATACACGTATGGATCCGCGCCGGTGGCCTAGAACTACCACAGTTTTATCTGTCCAGATGACATTCTTCCAATCATTAAGGGTCCAGTGTTAGTGATCTAGGCAGAATTTAAGTTGTTTAGCCTTAGCAGCTTCAGTCAGTCTAGGCTTCTAGGAAGGCTTCATAATGATAAATCTATTTTGCTTAAGAATCTATAAAATAGAGGAGTGTGATATACCAGCCTCATAAGCTAGAATTTCAGATGATTTCTCCCTTCTATTGCAGTCCTTGGATACAGATTTAATAATGGCTTTCTCCTTCTCAGGTGTTATCTCCTTAGGCCAGCTAGATTGTTTAGCATCCTCAGCATATTCCATTTGAACGCGTTCAGATCTTCCAGGGCTAAATCCACAGTCTTTTGCACATTGTATCATCTTCTGGATAGATTGAGGAGGAACCTCTAGATTAGTAGCAATATCCTGGATATTAATACCCCAGGCTACTAGCCCGAGAATCTGTATGCGCAATTCAATTAGATGGTAACCATTTTTAGGCATGGTAAGCAATAGATTTAATAAAAATAATAAGTTTAGATAGTATCAAAGAGTTGAATACTAGAATGTAAACAAAGATTTTCCCTTCTAGATATATTACCATATAAATTACTAGGGGGCTGCGTCAGCAGGATACAGCCAAGCTTACTAGTGGCAGTCAACACTTTTGGTGCACACCTCCGTACCTTCCGACCTTTCTCATTAGTAGGCAAATTACTAGTGATTCTCTGACAAATGCTGATCCTCGGCCCCACTTGGCGGGGCTGGACGCCGATCTATGGACCATGGGCCAATCGCCTGTTGAGCTGTCGGCCCGCCGAGCTTAATCAGGAAGGTAATGTTAATTAGGTACCTTAGTCTCTCGCCGACGCGGCTGGTGTTTTGAGGCCGACAAGGCTGCAAAAGTGGGATTGAGGGATTGAGGAAGTGTGAACCTAGAACTCTAGGCTTTGATTCTGGTTCAGGGGACCTGGTGTGTTGGGTATAAAGTCAGTCCCACCGTCTGCTTTTCTTTCATCGGCATACAGATCTCTAAATCTTGACGCAGAATATCATCCAATATGGCATCAGAGCAGACGTACGATTTCATTGTCGTTGGAGGTCAGTACACATCGCTGCAAGAGTCACCAACATAGCTCATTGTATGATCAGGCGGCCCGGCTGGATGCACCCTCGCCGCACTCCTCGCCAAGTCTGCCAAACGCCCCAGCGTTCTTCTCCTTGAAGCCGGCGGCCAAAACGACGACAAGTCGCTCCGCGTCGACGGTAAGCGATGGACAACCTTCATGGAAGAGCAAATGAACTGGGGCTACAAAACAGCCCCACAAGAACATTGCAACGGCCGCCAACTTGACTATTCGCGAGGCAAAGGACTAGGTGGGGGTTCTGCTATCAATTTTGGAGTGTACACCGTCGGGGCTAAGGATGACTATGATGAGTGGGCATCTGTGGTCGGCGATGAAACCTTCTCGTGGAAGAACATGCAAACACGGTTCAAGAATCTCGAGACATTCGCTGGGTCTATTGAACTTCCACAGAACCAGAAGTACGGTGGACATCAGGCTGGAGATCATGGCGACAAGGGTGGTTTGCGGACTGGGTATGCCAAAGAGTGGGAGGATGATCTCTCGTTGGTGCTGGATGCCTTTGAACAGGCTGGGCTCAAACGAAACGTGGACCATAATTCCGGCAATCCCTTAGGAATGGGTCTGTGTATCAACTCGTCTCATAAGGGGATACGGACGACTGCGGTGGATTTGTTGTCCGATGCTCCTGACAACCTCTTTACCGTCACAGACAGTCCGGTGCAGCGCGTCATTCTAGAGGGCAAGACGGCTATTGGTGTCGAGACCGAGAGAAAGAGGTGTAAGTCTCTGTCCAGTCCACTTACTACCTTCTATCTTCTACAGTCCTAACGTCTGAATAGATCTTGCTGCCAAAGAAATTATCCTCTCAGCTGGTTCCCTCGACAGCCCCAAGATCCTAATGCACGCCGGCATCGGCCCAGCCAACGACCTGGCAAAATTCAACATCCCGGTCATTCAAAACCTTCCAGCAGTCGGCCAAGGACTGCGCGACCACTTCTTCGTGCCGATAATCCTTGCCCGAAACCCAGAAACAAACGACCGCAACACCTTCCTCCAAGACCAAACCGCCATGACCGCGGCGATGAAACAATGGGAAAAAGACGGAACAGGTCCATGGGCCCGATACGCCTGCCAACTCGGCATCGGCTGGTTCAAATCAGAGCAGGTAACCTCGTCCGCCGAATTCAAGTCCCTCCCACCATCTGTACAGGACTTCCTCAACCGGGAGACAATCCCGCACTACGAGATTTTCACCCATTTCCCAGCACACTTTTTCTTCCCACAACTCTTCCAGGATTACAGCTATATTGCCATGGCAGTCTTCCTGATGAACGAACAATCAGTCGGCGAAGTCCGACTACAATCATCTAATCCAAACGACCCACTCCTCTTCGACCCCAAATTCCTCTCCCACCCTTTCGACAGACGGGCCTGTATCGAGATCTTCCGTCATCTCTGGGAAGTAACGACACACGAAGCCTTTGCCAAGGACACCATATCGACGATCATGGGACCGGCGTCCGAATCGGACGAGGACATCCTGCAATTCTGGAAGGATAATATGTCGTCCAGTTGGCATATGACTGGCACCGTGAAGATGGGTAAGAACGGTGACGACGATGCGGCGGTTGACAATCATTTCCGCGTGTTTGGAATCGAGAATCTTCGTGTGGCGGATATGAGCGTTGTGCCTGTTTTGCCGAATGCTCATACCCAGGCTACTGCTTATGTGACAGGGGCGACAGCTGCGGATGTTTTGATTCGGGAGTATAGGTTGGATGAGAAATGATCCATGCAGATTTGATGAAAAGAGAGTTGGTTAATGGAGGAGAAGAGGGGGAACTATCAAAGTAAATCTTCCATGTTGCGATGAACATTATCCTTTACATTGACAATTTCGGAAATATGTTACATTTGAGAGTGAATATCAACAAGTGGCATCGCTAAACCATGGATGGACCCAGCACCGTTGACAGAGACCCCTACCACTGCTCTCGGGCAAAGTGGACGGTAGTTTCCCCAACTGTTCGACCCTGACAGACGGCCTTGCAATTGAGGTCACCCTGGGCGCCAAAGGTGACCTCAATGGAATATCCCAAGAGATACTCCACTTGTGCGCCCGTCCGAGACTGCGGGAACTGAGCAAGGTCGACACTTGCAAAGTCACACATGATCTGTGCGATGAGGTAAACACCTAGATTGCATCAATAATAACCCCAACGGATTCACTTAGGAACAATAACCCACCTGGGTGGTCAACTCGTTGTGGGGCGTTCGCATCATTACAGCCGTAGAGGTTACTGATCTTCATCAGAGAATCCCCTGAGCGATGGGTGACAACCAAGTCTTGCGTCGCCGTGTGATTCCGGGCATATCTCTCCCCCTTGGCAATGTCAGAAACAGTTGGCCTCATGTAGCGTCTCGCGGACAGATTCCGGAACTCACCTTGGCAAGGACCCAGGAGACAAATCCAGGGACCGTTCCGGTACCCTTGACCAGAAGAGGACACTCGAGGCCGTAATGACTTCGGCATTTTCTCGTGGTGGGCTGAGGCCCTCCAAGTCCCCGAATCACTGCGCCGCGCATGACCATTGCTTGCCTGCCATGCAGTTAGCGTCCTTCCAAGCGGGAGATCATTGCTGATACATACGGGTCTGCTGGGGTGAGTATGGCCAGCTTGCCATCGACGGCAAAGGTTCCTGAAATCCTTTCCCGTAGGTATGGTGACTGGCTAAAGCCGCCGACTAACACAATTTTCTGGACTTCAATCAGCTCTGCGGCCCTTGGTTTCAATAACAGGGACTGTACATTGATGATGAAGCGGCCAACCTCTTGGTTGGCGCTTTCAATCTGGCGGTGTATTAGCTGCGTAATCGGGCGGATCACCGGATCGAATATTCCACGAAGGTCATTGCTGTCACAATCAGTCAGCCCCTCTCCAGGTATGTCGTCAACTCTGGAATTGCATACCCGGAAAGCAAAACTTGTTGATATTTTGCGTCAAAGAAAGAGGGGTTGGGGTTGTTGAGGGCCAAGGCCAGGGGAAGTCGATGGACCCTGTCCACAGCTGAACAGCAGAATGTCTCCTTAATGGCCTGAAATATGTTCATGAACTTACTGTCTGGGCCCTTGAGTGTAAAAGGCAAGTCCTTAAACGCCGCCCCAAACCTCTCGGACATGAGAAGATAGAAATTGCGGTCGATGGCTGTGGCGCCGCACATACCACCTGCTCACTTTCAGCGCCGTCATCCACCCAGTAGGCCTAAGGGAAGGGGACTTACCAACGGCCGAGGTTAGTTCATCAAACGCCAACATGGGAGAGACCTCCGATATTAGATAACTTGTCACGTCCTAGGTCCTGTCAGCCGCGCCCAGGTAGTTCCAACATTGAGCGTTTGACTCACCACGGTGCCGCCCCCACAGTCGCATATCAATATCCCATCACCTGGCTAAATGGTCAGGTTAGCCAGGGTACTTTTGCGTTCAAGATTGGACCGCGCACCTTGATCTGCATTCCGGGTCCATATAGTGGCATTGTCTTGAAAGTGGCAAGTGCGGCGGCTTCGGGCTCGCAAAGCATGTAGATGGTATCACCCGGCCTGTCATTACTTGGTCCAAAGCCTGCACGAATAGCAGCCTCCTTGTATTCGAACTGAATCTGATCCGACCAGACTGCTGGCGTCGTAAACCAGAATTCCATATGGACATCACGAAGACGAAGAGGACTAAGCTTGACAAGCTTTTTCTCCAGCTCTCGGCAGGTGTGCACATAGACCTCCCGCAGAAAGTCTGTGACAACCTGGATGGCGACCTTTCCTTGAGGTAGTTTCATGATTCCCATTGCGGTTGCCGCCTCCAAAGCCTTGTCATTGAACTGGGCCATATCCACACCTGTATCCAAGAGCAACTTGGTCCAGGAAGAGGCGGATGTCCCGTGTTGAATTTGGAATCCCCAACTGGTTTTCTCAATCGCGCAATTGCCTTGAGGATACGCTATCCTGGATGGGGCTTTGATGGCGTGAGTGAGTTGCCCAGAGGGAGTGGGCCAGTAGCGGACAAGGTCAATAATCGACAGAGAAGTTTCCCCTAGTATCGCATAGCTGACGCCTATTTTGCCGTGATTAGATCAGATCAACCATATTTTTTGAGTTGGGAATGGTGTACCTGTGAAGGTGGTGCCGTAGTCTACACCGACAACAAGTTTGCCTTTTGGATTCATCGTAAATAGGTGTGCAAATAGACTGTGACAAGCTGGATGGCAATCTTTCTGATGTTGATATGGAATTCTGGTCTACAACGCCGTCCAGGAGATAACAATTGAAGTTATTATAATGATCAGACAGAAGAAAATTGCTCCATGTAATCATACTATGTCAAGCTGGCGAAGAGAGTCCGGACCTGGCAACACATGATGTCTGAGACAGAATGTCGAACAGATTTCGTATTGAAGTCAACACAGACTCATAGTCAAGCTTGATCCTTCCAGTAAAACTCAATCATCTCTTTGTGCGTTGAAACTTGTGAGACAGACCGAGACGGCCTGTTTTTTTTTTCTCCATTGATGGGCATGCTGTTCAGCAAGGTCTCAAATCACTGCCAAGAAAAAGTTCAACAAGGTCTTGAGGTTGTGTTAGATACCCCGAGACCTTTCCGAACTGCAACCCATCCATTGACAAAGAAAGTGGGTCATGATTGAAGGCAAAGCGAGAAAACCACGGGTGGATGGGCTTTGCTCTGTATGTTGGGAGAAAGGGTCAGGAAGATGGTTTCGCAGTGACAAAGAACTTCTTCAGCCGTTCCAAGCCACCCAGTCAAATGTCTCAAGACATCCGGAAGCGAACTTTTCAGACAAAGAATCTGCTCTTCTCTGCTCTCACTTTCCCTGTTTCTTTGACATTTGATCAGCCATCCTGTCTATTCTCATCTTTCATTCTTTACTTTCGCTAATTCCATACACTACTTTTGTAGGTTAACAATTGTTATAAATCTACAACTCTTGCCTCCCCTGACTGTCTCAGCAAGATTTCACTCCTATGGCAAAAAGAAGGAGCAAGCGGATTGCACGGAAGATGGCTACTGTTCAGGTAAGAATGCTTCCTGTGCCTGCATTTCGGTTAGCCTTGACCAGACAATCTCGAGTTGCTGCACATCTACGTCTATCTTCTTCGTCTTCAGTGTGGAGGCTTACACTTGCTGCTTAATCACAGGAAGGCAGTGCAGGAGACTCATCAGTTCAGCCAGAAGGCTCTTTGATCGCAGAGGCGACGGGGAAAGTACCTGCAACGCTGTCGGCCGCTGATGGTGCAGACGAGGCAGCTGTCCACGTATGTCAGATTACCGCACTTGTTATTCTAATCGTCTCATCTGGCTCTCTGCTAACGACCCTGGCTTAAATCAGAAGGCATATCCATCCCCTCCACTGAAGAGAAAAGACATTTCCCCGTGTGATGATCACCTCGCCTCCCCCGGAGAGGATGCACATTCAGGGAGCGAATCCGAAGACCACCAACGACCGCCCGTTTACGACCTGGCCCAGCAGATAAAGGATTTACAAACTGAAAACAAGCGGCTCCAAGAGGAGTATTCCAAAATATCTCTGTCCATGCGAAAAGAAGGAGCCCGGACAGGTTGGTACGACGTCACTGATCAGGAGGTCCAAATATTTTGTAACCGCCTTCACTCCAAGCTTTATAATTGGAGTGTTGATTATGCCATCGAGGATGTCAACATTGTCGAACCAAAGCTGTCAGCCAGTGAAAAGCAGAACATCATCACCTCGCTGGACGGATATTGCAAGCAGGAAAACTGGGAGTCTTTGATGAAACAGTTTCCAGCCAGGATTCAAGAGGGCATCCTTCAGGTCTTTGCTCACACACTCTGGACCAAGCATCTCTTTGAAGATGTCTTCATGAAGCCCTTCCTCTACTTTGACTTTTATGAGCAGGAAGAAATGACCAGCACCGCGGGCGAACCAGACACCTCGCTTCCGACAAAATTACAGAACATGTATCAAATGTTCCGAACAGGTACGATCTCCCACATTCTGCAGGGGCAAGGCAGACTGACCATACTGTAGTTGATGAAGCCCAAGCCCAAGCATGGCGAAGTGACACGGTTCGTCTTGCGAACTCGATCGTTCCGTTAAACGAAATTGATGCGAATGCGCCCCTTTCGATGGCCGCAGCGACCGAATTGTTGGGCATGTCTCCAAAGACTCCAATTGTGGGCCCGGAAGCATATCTCCTTGGAGAGAGGAGCAAACAAGCCAGAAGATCCGCGGTTGAACGACTGGTTTCCAGTATTCTTGACGGTCCCATGCGGCTCATGTTGCGTGAACTCTCCAGCCCGGAAGAGGCTGATCGACGAAACCAGGTCATTATTGACATCTATCGCAGTACAGCTGAACTGGCAGCCGAATGCTGGGCTGACAGGTCACTGTGGGAGATCCGCGGTCTCGACAAGCTGGGCACCTTCCATTGGCATACCGAGACGCTGACTCCGCATAACTTCCATATCCCGGAGGATAGACTGAATGGTAAAGCGGTTCTGGTCGTAATCCAACCGCCTCTATACCGCTGGGGGGATGAGGCCCTTCAATACCATCTTGATTTGATGGTGGCACAGGGGACGGTAATAGTGGAAGATCCCGCCCCAACTTAACGAAGGCAGCTAACCATGTTGGCCTGTTGTTGCCTTATATTCGTGTTTTGCCTTTCTGTTGCTCTTTCATGGTTCGGGTTCAAGGGTATGGAATGTTTTGCCAGGCATGATACTTCTGCTGTTGAATGTTTTCTGCCCTTGTTTAAATTTCTTCTAATAAGTCAACATATTAGGTGCCCAGGCTGGATTGCTGCTCGTAGCTTGTATTATTATAGGTCAAATCTTTTCATAGCAAACTAGCACTGCACCTTCCACGGAAGCTCGACATCACTGCATCGGTCGAACTACATCAAAGAAGCCTTCTCAGTTGTCCCGACCCCAACACCTAATAAACATCAGTACAACCCACAAAGTACTATGACGGTGGCGGTGATGTACTGCTCTGGTACAGCATAGCAGCCAGAAGCACCCCGATGAATGGATGCCTATGCCAAGTCAGAAGTACTCAGCGATAAGGACAGAAAGCCGCCATACTAGCGATAGATCCATCCCCTCGCAACCTCAATCTCCCACTCCGGCCTCTTTTCCGGTATATAAACCGAGACCATATACTTCAACTTGGAGGTCATCACCAACGCATCCCCATAGTACACATGCGCTCTCGACTTCCAGATGTCCTGACCCCGCACGCTCCGAACAATCTCTTCCCGCCCACCGTCCCCGCCAGCCGCATTACAGAAGTGGACGTCGAACGTATCCTTGAGCATGTCCCACTGCGGAACGATGGTGGCTACTGGAAGAGCGGCAGGCCTGTTGCCTCTTGAATGCGCCTCCGCTGACTAACGGAGGCCAAGTCGTCGTTTACGGTGAAGAGAGCTGCGGCGGGGAGCCATCGCTTGGGACTGTGGAGATGGTGAAGTCGCCTGCGGACCAGCTATTGCTGTGCTGTTTTACCCGGATGGTTGTTGGGCTGGAGGACGTATTCTGTTCGCAGGGCGATGGGTTGTTTGAGATGGCTTAAGGAGGTCATGGCGAGTGAAATTGGAGTCAGAGTGACTGCAACACAGATGGAAAGGGACAAGTGGTATAAATGTATCTACAGCTGAGTCTGGTCAGCTTATACTGCGTCAGGTTGTCAGCGCTTGGTGGGGCTATACTACCCAGCCCCGGATGTTTAAAACGATTAAGACCCACAGAGAGTCCTGACTCCTGAGCGGGTTGACCCGTGCTGCCTAGCATGCTCCACTCCGGCGCGTTGGCCCACTTGCTAGATTCTTTCCCGCAAGGGCTTAAGGCTTAAGAGGCTTGGCGATAGAGATCCACTGATCGGCAGTACTAACTCTAGAAACAACATGATCCAAATACAATCTGTTTTCACTGCAATTGTGTGTTGTTAGGATCAGCCAAGCCTTCGCCATCGCCAAGAAGCAATCTCCACACGGCCTCAAGTCTACAAACTACTCAGTACTTGCGAGCGATGCACTGTGAGTGGAATTGCCATGGAGCAGTTCCTTTTCAAGGTATCTATAGGGCTTGCTGTGTGATAAATCTGACTAGAGTCTCCCTATACTAGCCATTGTAAGTAGTTAGTGCTTCATTTACAAACCATTAAGCTGCCAGGAAGGACTATTGTGAGTTAGCCATGGTGTTCTATACTAATCTGCCCTTATGCAGTGACACTCCTTCTAATATGTTTCTTTCTCCATGTGGACACTGACATCTTGGTTGATATACACTCACACTGGTGGCTTTAAAATAGACAAGCGTGGAGGTATGTATCAGTAGCTGTCTCGTTAGTATTATTTCTGGAAAATCTGTCCCAAATCAAAGAGATCTCATAGAGTATAGGGATGCGGATTCTACCCAGGCTATGCATGTCTTCAAGTATATCCCATACTGTTCAAGTCGGAGAAGCAGTCAGATTATTAGCAACTAGCCGTTCAAGCTTTCAATCGAGCTTTCAAACAGGACTAACATAATCATGCACTAGATACAAATCAGGCAAACTCCTGCAACTGCTTCACATCAGCCAGAGCCGGCCACCACGAAGCTCGATGCTTGACAAAGAATTCCGCCTCGGGTTTGGCATCATCAAGAGAGCGAGGATCATCCAGCGTCCCAGCTAGAACAATCACACCGCCCTCAAACTCCTTCCGATCGGCTGTCTTGTAAAGCAGAGAGCCACAGGTCCCACAGAAATGTAGAGTCAAATGCATGCCGCTCTCATGTGTTTCATGGTATTCCTTTGCGGCCCCTTTCACAAGGTGGAAGTGATCCTGTGGGACTAGAACGTTGATGGAGCTGCCGCTGCTGAATTTCCGGCAGGTGAGACAGTGGCAAACGGCCTATAGTCACGTTAATATGGACTTGTGGAGTAGCTGCAGGCTCTAGGTTAAGCTTATCTTAGTGACAGGTTCGCCGCTATATTCGTACTGGAGTGATTTACAGAGACAGGAACCAGATGGCATGATGAAAATGTTTGTGTTGCTTGTTGTAAGTGAAATACACTGTAGAGATGAAATGAGCGTGGTGGTGTGCAAGGCTGATATATAGACTTTTCTTAAAATCCGGACCTGGTCAGAAGACTATGTTTGTTTCGAATGCCATGTATGCAAGAGAGTTTAATACTCGAGCGAGGGTCCGAGTCCTGGATCGAATTGTAGTCCGTAAATATGATTGATCTTCATCTACAGCGGGGCGGAATGCCGAGCCATTGTCGTATGTTTTCCGGCGCCACTTAGTCGTTGATGGAATCGTATGATCACCAACAATTGTGTCAAGGATCGGAACCTAATAGATCAATCCAGATCTACCAAGTAGAGAATGTCAAATGGCTTTCCCTTCTTTACTGTTCAGATGATGATGATCAAGATCCCTAATAACTTTATTTTCTTCACACACTCTCTGACAGATGGCGGACTCGTTTCGGCCACTACATCCACCAGGAAGCACATAACTGTGTCTAAATTTAGTCCATAGATTCGATAGATTGGGACACGCCTTAAACTGAAGAATTCAAACATCTTTTTCTTGCTACTGCAGTCAGTGAGAAGTCTCCAACCACACATTCCATGAAGTCTATATCACTTTCCAGTCTAAGTGCAACTTTACTACTGCCTCTGCCTTTCAATGAGCCCATAGCAGAGCTTGCTCACTCTTATCATGTACTACCTTGTATATAAATTCTAAACAAGCCCTTTCTAGCACATACGACCAGAGGGTATGGAAAACAGGGCTTCCCGTCCGCTCAGCCGTACTTAAGCCACACGCCGGCCGGTTAGTAGTTGGGTGGGTGACCACCAGCGAATCCCGGCTGTCGTATGTTTTTGATGCTTTTTTGGCTTCGTTGTTTGCCTTCGGTCCTGTCTAAGCCTTGCCTGAAGCCCTCTACTAGTCTTCACCTGGCGAGCCGAAGCTGACGTGGTTGTCTAGTGCGCAGCCTCTGTCCTTCAGCCATGCTTGCCATCTCTACCTTTCCTCTTACACCAAATAGAATGATTTAAGCGAATATAACTGTGTGTGTAATAATCATGAACTATACTAATTCATTGATAAGTTACTCGAGATCAGATGACTGCGAAGCGTGGTTGGTCTAAGCTGATACATTGTTTGCCACTGCTTTTCCCAGTCTCGTCCACCATGAGGAACGATGGCCAGTGTTGACAAACTAGTTTGAGTAATTGGTAGAGTCTTCTTTTCGCCAGTAACTTGTAGCCAGACTTCAGAGAAGACCTATTTTTGAATGACGTTGCCAAGAGGTGCGCAGCCCCATCAGCACATTGGTAAGGCTCCATTGAAGCTCTATGTTTAAAGTACTACAATCGTTATAGATGTCCTCTTCTGTCCTCATGGGGTTATATGCACATTGGCGTCATCATTGCTAGATAACAGTCCAAGCTAGAGATCCGAAAACAAGTTTGACTAGAGATAACAATATGACTAGCAGAATCCATTGGCTTAAACGCAGCAAGATCAGCCTTCACAAAAGCACTATCGAAGTTGTGGAAATATATCTATAATCGTTTTCCTCGTCCTTGCATGCCTTATCTATATATATTGTAAAACAACATCATTTGAAGCTACCCGATTTTGCCTGAGAGAATGGACTTGTGGCAACACCTCTCGCCTTGATTACCTCTACGTCGAGGCTCATCTCTTCTAATCCTTTTCCTTTCTGTGGCTCCGGCCCTATTGTCATTAAGTTGTATCCTCGTGGCAGATACCGGTCCCCGCCTGAACCAGGCATCTTGCCTCCGAATATTCTAACCAACAACGCCCCGGGTCCCCATTTTGACCAGAGAGTAGGTCGGATGTACCATGGTTGCAGGCCCTTTCTTTCGAAGTTGTACAGATTCGTTTCCGGGTTTGGCGTATCATGCACGAGTCTGACGGCAAGGAAAGAGGGACGTGGAAAGGCAAGGTATCGAAGGACTAACTTCCGTGAATTTCGGACGAGGCCCAGCACAATAGAGAGGGAAAAGGCTGGGAGATTCGAGACTGGGGCCGTGAGCAACGTACGGTTTTTTGCGGATGGAATGGGCACAGAACCTACCCAAGGCTCGTCCTCATGATATCACTCAAGTCAGCACCCAACATCTGTCGCACCACTGGTTTTATGAAGCTGGGAAGCGCAGAATCCACGTAAACTCGGACGTATTGATCGTTTGTTGCGGTCGGTCTCGCGACTTCTTCCTCATAGTGGATTGTCCACTTGCTCAGTTCTAACGCGAAGTGCAGGCCATCTTTCCACCCTTCTGCTTTTGAGGAAAGCGCATCAAATGGGATTTCCATATCTTCGCCTAGGTTCTTGTGAACCTGTCCATGCTGCTACTAGACCGTTGTAGGTATTCAGCATAATGCGGCATAGATGAACTTACCAGCCTTACATGTACCATGGTTTGTTGCCAAACCCTTAATGGCAGCGGAAGATTCCACATTCTCAGTTTTAGGAAGCCGTTTGGCCACCAACAGCTTGGAACAGCTTTCTAGGTAGTAGCCGCAGCCTGCCAGTCGTGCGCCTTTTTTCTCTTTAACTTATACCTTGTCATCTCAATTGTCGAACCATCTGCTGCATTGACAACTATACATCTGCGCGTAAATCGTAGCAGATGGTCAGCAGGCATACTATCTAACCCGGAGTACTCGCTCCATCTTCGCCTAACCGGTATACCTCGGTTTCGAATCGAACTCCTCCAATCGCACACTACAGATGGTCAACACTACACGATTGGCTCTAGAATCCGGAGCGAGGCCAGGTATGCGGTCGTATGCGGTCATATTTGGCTCATCGCTGCGAAATCTACTAACAAATCCTTCCAGACCTTCCACAATGACATCAACAATGAATTGATCGCCACCTCGCACACCCGTCACGGCATCAACCCTGCAAACCATCAGCCTAATCCTGAAGTCCCTGTTTCCACAAAAGAAGGTCTTGATCAAGCCGTCAATACTGCTCAGCAAGCTTTCTGAAAATGGTCTAAGACCTTATTTAATGAGCGCCGCACTGTCCTCAGTGCCTTTACTAATAAAATTAAAGTAAATAAGGATGCACTGGCTCAGCTTTTAACACAGGAATAAGGAAAGCTGTTTAGTCAGTCCACTGTAGAGGTTGGAATGGCTATCCAGTAGGCTCAAGTCCTACCCATAATTAAGATTCCTAAGACAGTTATTGAAGACACAGAAGAACACCAGATCATTCAGTAGTATACTCCCCTTGGTGTCTGTAGGGCTATTATGCCATGGGATTTCCCTATCTTGCTAGCTATTGACAAGATCATGCCTGCTATATACACAGGTAATACTATAATTATCAAATCCTTACTATTTATGCTATACTGCGCCCTAAAGCTTGCTGAGCTGGCAGCGCAATGCTTTGCACCAGGTGTGATCCAGGCATTAAGTAGGGATGATGAACTAGGCCCTATAATCACAGAGCACCCTGGGATTGATAAGATTAGTTTCACTAGCTTAATCTAGATAGGGAAGCTTGTCATGATGAGTTGCGCGAAGACCCTGAAGCAGGTTATACTGGAGTTAGGCAGGAATGACCCAGCCATCATCTGCAACAACATCAATATTAACACAATCATTCCAAAGGTATACTACTATACTACCTGCACTGGTAGTGCGAGCTTGCTAATATTTAAAGGTTGGGATTCTCTCCTTCCTCAGCTCAAGCCAGATCTGTATGATAATTAAGCAGCTGTATGTCCATGAGAATATCTATGATGAGTTCCAGGAGAAACTTATGGCCTTCATGCAATCCCTCAAGGTTAGCAAGGGCACCCAGCCAGATGTCTTTATCAGCCCAATCCAATCCAGAATAGCATGCAGTATGACAATGCCAAGGATCTCTTCAAAAGCTTGTCCACTCTACGGAGTAAAGGCAGCCCTCGGCGGAACTATTAATGAATCAGCAGGCTACTTCATCCACCCAATCATCATTGACAATCCTCCTGAGTCTGCCCGGGTCGTGTAAGAAGAGGCCTTTACACCGATTTTGCCTATGCTTAAGTGGTTAGATGAGGAAGACGTTATTACACAGGCAAATGCTACTGAGACAGGGCTTGGGTCATCTGTATGGAGTAAGGACATGACGCAAGCTCATCAAATAGCTGATCAGCTTGAGTCAGGCAGCGTGTGGATTAATTCACACTTTGATGTGGCACCCAAGGTGCCTTTTGGAGGGCATAAGGCCAGTGGAATTGGTACGGAATGGGGGTTGAACGGTTTGACGGCATACTGTAACTCACAGAGCTTGTGGGTCAAGCCAGATCAGTCATAATGCTATCATGATCATTCCCAAGATCTTTCATAAGATCTTCAACTGGATACTCGGCTCGTAGGATGTTGTCTTGCTCAGGTCGGCTGTCTGGTCGTCCTTGACATGGATCGCTCCATCCTTGGTGATTCTGTCGGCAGGGAACTGGAACCCGTCGTATGCGTGGGTCAGCTTCTTAATAATTAGGGCTGGATGTATTATGATAGGCATGTCATTATTTCTTTAGCAAAGATCCTAATAATATCATTTCTAGTGGGCAAGTAATGCTTTTGTGGAATGATTACTTCTGGCTCTAAGCTTGACTGCTTTGGGGTTGGTTATGCAGACTAACATTTCTGCAAGCACTTCCCTTGCCACTATTTGCTTAACCAGAAAACACACTTATGATTGCTATCAGGTATTCTGTCCATTGAGTTAGCCGATGATAAGATAGTGTGGTTGAAGGAGTATATCATAATGACGTTAACTCATGATGATGTTTTTCTCTATTTGATCTATTGTACATCCATTATATAAATACCAGAGGTTATTTACTCTATTGCTTTGTATGTTTTGAAGTGATACCATTCATATCAATAGGTGCTAACCAAGGCATCCGTCTCCAAGTGGCAAACCATCTACATGTTTTGACCATTCTGATTGAACTCCATATCTAACAATGTTAAGCAGCCCGAGGACATAGGAATGTCATACATGCCATGGCATATGAATTTGCAGTAAATGGGAACATTGCTAAGACTGAAAAGGGCCATTTCAACATCAAATACACGCGTCGAGGAGCTGATATCAGCCTCTTAGCTTACAACTCATCGGATATAGTCTACATCCCGCTGCCAACCCCCACACGATGCGATGGTAAACCTTTGGCTGTTCAGGGCATTACTATCCAACTAAGCGGTTGCATGGCCACTGCCACATCTTTTGAGATCTTAGGAGTGGGCAACCAGTCTATTTCTTTCGATAGCACGGTGAACCTTGATAATGATGGTGTGGTGCATAATATCCCACTTACTTTACGCTATGCTCGCCACCCTCACTCTGGGGTAGTTGCTTCATTCATGATTTTCTTAAAGAAAGGATTAAGGCGGCAGAATGGCCCCCACGTCACTGTCCATGTGGCGACTATTCAGCTAGGATAGGAATAAAAGCCCATATGCACATTCAAATTGCAGCAGGTGTAGTACTTATATTTGTGGAAACAGCCATTGCATGAAGTAGCAATTAGGTATCATATGAATCGCCACCTATTGCATATCCTGCTGTTAGCCAATTGCAATGCAAGTCACTCAATCTGCGTAGCTAACTATTATCAGCATTCCAATCCCTGTTCTATTAGGTGAGTCCTGCGCTGGCCTCCAGTATACCTGCAGCGAGATCTAGCAATTTGCGAAGCCATAATTAGATACTTCACCCTCTCACATTGATAAAGGACAGCTGCCGAGTGCTGCCATAATAATACCCACACCAGTATATACAGTGCCAATAATGCCAGCTTGTTGTAGGTTGACACAAGCATCCGGATCATTTGTTGCTAACCCTGTAAGCACAGCACCAGTTATGGCAAAAGCCACTGAAAATACTATCATAATGCCTTTCCACCATATCCAGAATATTTTATCTGTGCAGAAGTTGCAGCAGAGCCGTGTAACAATTAGCGGGACAAAGAATATAAGAAAAGGGATCCCTAAAAGAAGCTATCACAAGATCAGTTTCTTGAAGCTGTTTCACTTCCTAGGTGGAATAACAGTGCTCACCACCGGGATTAGAATCATCTCAATATTTTTCTTGCGACATGATGTATGACTCGGATGCTGTTTCACATTGAAAGCAACTGGACCATCTTCTAATTCTGCAGTCGTTGTCGAGCCGTCTACAACAAGATCTACCTGGATAACGTTAGCTGAACCACTGATAAGGCGAAATCATGGCTTACAGAGGTCAAAGGAACCGTTGGCTCATCTGTATATACAGTTGTAAAATCGGTAAGTGTCTGGGTGGAAATGGAGGTCACATAGGTTGTGGGCACACCACATGACGTTTCTGGAGCTGACCATGATGTGTGATGGGTCAGGTGCCCCGATGTGCACATGTGTGGATAATGAAGGTTGTGAGATGTAAATGACCTGCCCATACCCAAGTCATAATCCTACTGATATTAAAGGTCGAAAAGTATAAGCTTATTAAGTTTTCAAGGACAGTCTTTACAGAGGGGAATGTATTAGAGTCCGGATTTCTAGACTTACCTGAGGGTCAACCCTTGTTAGGCTGCGTAATAAAATATGACCTGTGGACACCCTTTGACAAGGCACTTTTTAGAGGACTCCAACATTGGATTATTTTTAATTTCAATGTTGCTCAATAGGCAAGGATGGATGCGTGGATATATGCAAGGTCTCTCTAGTGATGATGTATATTGCTATGCTGCATGCAGCATATTTTAACTTTCCAAAAGCCTATACTCCTATAGATTATTCCCCAGTCACATGTGTACCTTCCTGTTCTGGCCCGGTCTATGTCTATGACACACCACATATAGATGAGGTGTAGGTCCAATTTGGCTGTGATTAAGCTTATTATCTATCACAAGGAGTTTAAAATGAATTGCGTGGATATAATATAAATAACAGGCACCCACATTGGAATACATGTGGAGAGCTTGAGGCTTCCCTGCCCAGAGTGCGCGGTACCCTACTGCACACTACAGGCCCATTATAGTGTAGACCATAGATGTGAATAGAGTGAGTGGTATAGGTTAGCACTCAAGTCAGTAGGCAACCAATAACAATAGAATTGTTACCGCCCAAAGTAATTCTAGTCCAAGGCTAAAATAAGCATACATTTCTAAGGTAGTTTAGATATACTCACGGGTGAGATTAGTAGTTGGAGCCTAGAAGCCATCTTTAACTATGTTAGGTCTATTTAGTCATTGCAAGACTTGATTTACTCAACTAAATAAGGTAGATCCTGCCAGAGCTGCTGTGAGTAAATAATTTATATTGATATTACCTCCTGCTTATTATTGCGAAACTAAAAGCTATTATTTTTCTAGACCTGTCTTTATGGATGATCATATTAATAGAAGAGAGGGTCTGTGGAGATTGTGAGGAATGAAGATAGTCATTTGCCTAAGGCAAGCTTCAGGTGATGGCCTAAACCCTAAGTAACTCCATGCTCGCCGGACTATTGTGTCCATCACCACGGCTTTGGGGCCATGGCGTCGACCTGGCGCGTTGCAGACACTCGGTGACGTCCGTGTACAAGGCTGGAGGAATGTGCAAATCCCTATCCTTGTCGTTAATCAACTTCTTGAGCTCCCGGTAAAAAGACTTGGGCAATGTTGACAGATATATAGTCGTCAGAGGGCCAGAGCCGCTTATCTGCAACAAAATCTTGATTCAGTTATAGTAATCATTGCGAGATCGTGAAGGCGAGGCACTCACAACCACAAGATACTATATATTTTCTCTAGTTATAAGATTGTTGTCTATAATATCAAAACAATGATATGAGAGGGAAAAATAGCAAAAGATCAAAAACATACGACAGCCAGGATTCGCTGGTGGTCTCCCACCCAACTACTAACTGGCCGGCGTGTGACTTAAGTACGGCTGAGCGGACGGGAAGCCCTGTTTTCCACACCCTATGGTCGTATGTGCTAGTCATGCTCAAATATAGGCTCTATATATTGAATTGAACAATGTTCACAGCCTTGCAACAGCGTTATTACCAGGCATACAGGTCCACATAAGCAGAAGTGGTGCTGGGTAATGTCAGTTGCCGAGCGGGTAGAGACGGCAATTGAGCCTGTACTACCTTCGCGACCCTTAAATATTATTGCATGTTTTATATGGCCAGTGATTGGATATTGGTTCATTACTAAACTGCGAGTTTAGACCATAACATGAGAGGAGCAGGATAGATTGCTGTTAATAAGGTTTGGGAGAAGCTCCGTCTGCTAGGTTCTTGTCTGCTCAACCACGGCCAGCGACCAGACATTTTGATCTCGAATGCCTGATATGGGAAACGCATCACTCAAGTTTGGGATATTTGTCTGGAGGAATTCAACAAGATGATGAATGTCAATCTTCATGCTTTGTTCAGAGTGAGGATAGCTACGGGTGGATCCGCAACCATATTGTGCATGGTGAGAAACTCATGGACCTCCTTTCGACAGGGGCGCTTGTGCTCGGGACGCTGTTCTGCCGTTCCAGCGCGATGGGGACGATGCGCAGCCGCTTGACACTGTTCTCGCCCTGGCTGTTTCCCGGGCCAGCTACGCGTTAGTAAAACGGCTCCTTGATGAAGGCGTCGACATACACACTAAGCAGCAGCACACCCATAACCCTATGGGCGCTGGAGGATTGGGGAGGGAGAAGGCGTCGCGGCGGGACGTCACTGCTCTTCACATTGCTAGCTTGTTTTGGAATGCGGAGGCAATCAAAGATCTGCTTGACTACCAGGCCGATAGCAGTGCTGTCGGCCATGGTATCAGAGACTTAGTTTCCTCCCGGGATAGCAACGGGCGTCTCACACTTCACTGGGCCGCCGCAGGCCATGATACTCGCGAATGCGGGCTCCCGACTCCCTAAAATATTCAGGCTGCTCCTTGCCAGCAACACTAGTACCATTAATGTCCAGGACGAAGAGGGAGCAACAGCCTTACTCTATGCAATTGAAAGCCATGCTGCATGTGGTGGGAGCAAGCACGCTGATCTCGCAATCAGGTTCTTGCTAGAGCATGGGGCGGATGCAAGTATGTCAGATAGTCATGGCCACACCGTGCTGCATATAATTGCTTACCGCTCCGTGGCTGGTGAGCCTATCAATACTGCTTTACTTGGCTTTCTGGTGTCGCATGGTGCTAGCGTCAATCATGCAGATAATGATGGGAACACGGCTCTTCACATCATGGCTATGAATCTACGCCAGGTGCAGGCGGTCAAGTTCCTACTCAGTCGAGGTGCTGATGTCCATGCCAGGAATGCCAAGGCACGGTCTTTCATGAAGCGGCACGTGGGGTTTTCCAGCCGCGGGAGACATACAACAAGAAGATCGTGGAGGTTATGGCCGCAGACAGGATAAGAGCGCAGGATGAGATGGTGACTATCCTGAAGCTTCTGGTGATGATAATATGATGGATCAACCGATTGCAGCGGGTAGGACGCCGCGACAGCTGCGGTCGGAGACAAGGAGTAGGTGGCAGCAAATAGGAGCGCCTGCTGTGAGGGGATGCAGTCGTAGTCATGCATTAGGGAATCAGGGATAGAATGGTGTTTCTATATTCTATTTAAGAAGAGGCAACAAGCGAGGATTTAGTTGAGATGGAAATATAAAGCTGCTGACTAGCTTCCTTAGTCAGGAGTCAGGAGACTCAGGACTCAGGAGTTAACACATAAACACCCCTGTCTTTCATGTGGGTTAGATCCCTTGCACGTTCTCCGTCGTCGGCTTACCTTGAAAGCATAACATCTGCTGCAGTCCTTCCTGTTCGCCAGGCGGACAGTATCTGTCGAGCGAGAGTTGGAGATCTCAACATTAATTCCCTCTAATATATTGAATTTAACAATGCTAGAACTACCTGGGCTCCGGCGTCCCCAAGAAACAGGAAGTGTTTTCCCGCTCAAGGACAATGACATCGCAAATCTCAGTCGAGACCAACTCATCCACGCTCTGGATGCTGCTCCACCCTTATGGGAGAACGGAGGGGTCCGAATCGTGCGTGTTTCCTCGGGCGTCGTTGTCAAGTACGGCTCCGACGTCCACATCTGGGAAGCCGCCAATATGCGATTTGTCGCCCAACATACAAACATTCGGCTTCCCACGGTTCTAGACGCATGGGAGACAAACGGGGAGAGCGGTCACGAAGATACCATATGCTATATCGCGATGAGTTACATACGCGGCCAACAGCTTGACGAAGTCTGGCCTACACTGAGTGACGCTTCTCGCTGCGATATCCAGCAACAGTTGCACCAATTCATACAAGAGCTTCGACTTCTCAAATCGGATAAACCGGGTCCAATCGGTGGCGGTGTCTCGAATGGCGCCTTTTTCACCGACTATGGCGCTGGCCCGTTCGTCTCCCAGGAGGATATGGAGCGGTGGTTTGATGGCCGCCTTGCAGTCTGCCGTCAGTTTGGCCTCGTGGACCAGGCGCAGGAGGGCTTTCGCGGCCTTTTTCGAGACCTCGCGATGTGTCATATGGATCTTCACCCACGAAATATCATTCTGGATGGTCGGGGAAAGGTCTGGTTGATCGATTGGGCGTTTGCAGGGATGTATCCTGCATATTTCGAGACTGCTTCTATCCTAAGGAACGGCTGGACGACCTATTTCGGAGATTGGCTGGGTCAGGGGGATCGTGCGCGGTTTGGCGAGGAGATAAACCGTCTCTTCTCCATATCATTTGCGTTGACGACTGGAGCGCTATGCCAGCCAACCGAGACAACCCATGACATGACCCGTTGAAATCAACTTGTTATCATTATTTCAAGTGAGACAGGTCTTTTATCCTCTGTGACATTATTACCTCAGTTGTCCTCTAGCCCGACATACCGAATTGAACCTTTGCGGTTGGCCACTGCTTGGGCACACTGCCGTGTCAGACTCGATATAATATAATCTCAAGAAACTGTAGTTATCGTCTTAGGCCGCCATATGCTCTGTTCAAACATATGCTAGTAGTCTTGAACAAAGCAAAGAAGAACAGTCAATATGCCACATGGCTGTCCAGCGCCATGCCACTAGTCCTGCCTTCTCTTTCTACAGCAATGAGCTAGTCAAATGACTCTGTCTGCATTGGCTTGATAAAGCTGTCCCTCTACATAGTACTAATGTCATTGTGGACTGCTCAAATCTAAAGACTTCCTCGGAGATATGTCTGTAGTAGCTTTATATGTACATCAACGTCATCGTCATTCCGGATTCTTGCTCTTGGATTCAGGGAATTTTCGCCATCAAGGAGCGGGCATCCCGTCTCGTGATGGTCCTCGCATGATAGCTGGGACGTTAGACATTCCTCTCTGCCCAGCTTTGGATGAGCCCACGAACAGTAGGCTCATACTCCTTCAAGATGACACTGTGTCCTTCTAGAAAGGTATTTGCATGGCAAAATGCCAATGGTGGGTCCTTCTTCATGAGTACTACTTCCCTCCATCCCAAAGCCTCTTCATTGACTGTAGTCAGGTCTTCATAGAATTCACGGCAGCTGCGTATGTCCGCTGTGCAGCGGTAGATATGCAAGCGGAGAAGCATCCGGCCAAGGGAAGCCCTGCCTTCCTGAATACGGGATCGATTGACTTGAACTGTCAAATTCTGGCCCTCTTTATCATGAACGATTTCGTAGAGGCCGTTTCTGTCACGAAGCATATGTTGGAGCATACCAAAATGTGCCTGAAATTGTTAGAGATAGTCGCTTTCGCTTGATGCTACTTACTCTGCTGTGTGCTTGACCCCATTTCTAGAATAGTTTTAGCTTCTGTTGTTTGCCTTCATATAGTCGCACCTACCTTGGTGGATGGGTTGTAATTCTCGAGTGCTCGCAGCCCATCAACTCCTAGTTGCTGATAGAGATTATAGACCACTTGGTCACACAAAGGTCAGGCCGAATCCTATGCATTTATCGGGCTCTTACCATCAGCAGGTTTAGTCTCGCTGTCTACAGTGCATCCGAAAAGCTCCAGGATCTCAGGAACATCAATCAGATAAGCACCAACAAGTTCAGCGCGACACTCGTCCACAGTTGTTGATAAATCTGTGAAGACTCCTGTCCAGGTTTCCCCTGGACCATACCAACTATCAATTGGCTTTCCAGAGAGTGGGTTCAACGGCGGGTGCTCTTTGTCGAAGTTGAAATGCCCCTGTGAGTCCTCTACAAGGAGCTTGCCTGTGCCATGGCCGAGTATCTCATGAAGAACTACCCAAATGTAGTATGCTGTAAAGCGGTGCTCCTGGAAAACTTTGCGCTCTGATTCAGAAATCATGTGGATGCCCCTCGCTCGTTTACTCTCTGCTACCATGCGGTTAGCAAAGATAATGTTTTTGAAACCATCTTCTTGTCTGATGTCATTATACTATCAATTGAAAGTTAGTCGGTGACAGTATCTCTTATGCACGCCGTTCACTTACATTTGGAAGATTGATCCCTGGAAACACCAGGCTGGAGCAATAAGCCAGGACTACGGTCTCGTCAGCTCTCTATGATTTGGGAAAAGTCCTCATGGTGCAGCTCACTTTGGACGCTGGCAAAATCAGGAATATCGAAAAGCTCCTTCTCAAATGGGCCTTTTCCATTATTCTCCTCATATCCCCCAGCCCAAGGTAGCTGAGGAATAATATCAGAGGCAATCTCAGCGAGTCTGCGGAGCACTTTTGTTTTTTCTGAGTCCGATATTCCGACGATACCCTCAAACTCAGCACGAACGCCAAGGGGATCCCTGTACGGCTCAACGAATCCAAAAACCGTCTCTACCTTTGGGGCCTTGTCCTTGACCCAGATTCTTTGTGCTTCCCTGTAGGAATTAAGGTCACCGGTAGAAAAGCTTTCTGCAATGCCTGCCAGCAGTTTCTGCTGTTCGCAATTGGCTGCGTACTTCATAGCTTCTCTCAGGCTCTGATTGATCTTCTTGAGTTCTTCTTTGTGATCACCCCGAACCAAGCGAATTCTTGTGCCATTGGCAGACTGATCATCGGGTTCCTGAGGAGCGGCTTCATCTTCTTCTACTGAGGCTTGCAGGATATCATATGTCCGGAGGGTAATCTCACCCTCCCTGTTGATGCTCTTCCTCAATCTAGTATTCTCGGGAAAGATTTTTGATGATTCCATCAACTTCGATACGGCGGAGACCTCTTTCATATTTTCAAGGGGCCCATCTCCAAGATAGTACGTGCTTTGGGAGGTGTCGCTCGGGACACCCAGACTATTGGGCAATGGTCGAAACAATGCATCTCGAACCTTTGCAAACATTCGCGCTGTGGTAGGATCACAGTTCGCAAGCTTCTCCAGCTCATCTGGTGATGTATCAGGGTGGAACTTCTGATCTCCAGAGCCCTACAACATTCAAATTATTGAATGCACAAGACACAAGGGTGTAGGTACTCACGAAGTAATTTCCAATATTGGACAGAAAAACCGCTGCATAATTAAGGAACTTTTCCACTTCAGTCATATCCACCTGCGCTCTGCCCGCTAGCTGTTCCCATTGACCATCACAGCTGTGGTGAAGGGCCATGATGAAGTCGAAAATATCGTTTGCTTCTGGGGACACTTGTCGAAGAATAATTCTTGTCCCTTGCCATGCGGCTCTTGCTAACAGTCAGGATAGCTGTTAAATACCAAGGTGTTAGGGTCTCTTACCTGGCCGTGTGGTGGGCATAGAGCTTCTCTTGGTTGGTGAGGCCTTCAAAGGAGGCCGCTACCGAAAGCTGAAATGTCTCGGGTTTACCCATTGTTATGGCCTCGAGAGTTTTTCTGATTCCCGATCAGCCGATTGCGAATTCTTGAAGACTTCTCGAGAAGACGTCAGGATGAGGAGAGTCGGGGAGACATCATTTATTTGTTGTGATTGTCACCCCGCAGATAACCACGTGAGAGCACTATATACACTCGCTAAGTCGCATACAGAAAATTAGTAACTACTGCAAGAATAGGGACTAAATTACATATTGTACCTGGCAACTTGCCTATTCAAAAAATGGTTGGGTAGCTTAAAAGCCAGACGCTTTTCATTGCCTTAAATAACGGCATACCAGTCCACAGAAGATGTCTTTGGCGGAGACATGCCTACTAGGCTTGTTGGTCCGGCACTCTGGCTATATAACGTTTCCTGCTAGTTGTTGACCTCTCAATCTATGGTCATTGTCTATCAGTCACATCATTGGATGGGAACATTACACGCATCTGTTCTTGTAGTAGATGGTATCAACTGCAGGCTAGAATGAAGTTACCAGAGCATCCATGGGACGAGACCTGCGAAGTCGGATGCACATCCATCTCTCTTGGAAATATTATCCTTGACACTGACAGCGTGTTCCATATACTCAGCACTCTCTTGACTACATCCCTGCGACTCGAGAACCTTGGATAGCTTGAATAGCGCTCGGGCTAGGTGCCTCTGGCCTTCGGATTCTGGAAGAGCTTCAGATATCTTGACACACTCTACGAGTAGTTGACTGTATGTAGTTAGTAAAATGAGGAACGAGATTATTATTCCGTTAGGTCTTACATTGCTGAAGCCGAGTCTCCTCGATATTGCAAGATATCTGCAACCTGGTACAGGGAGTCGCAGACTTTCAGACGCTCACCTAAGCACCCTCTTCGAAACGTCAGAGCTTTAGAAGCAAGCCGAAGCGCATCGTCGTGCAAGCCCTGTGCCATTCTTATACGGGCGAGCAACACCATATCCCTGCACCGCATTAGTTCAAGAATATATTACGGAGAGATATCCGAAACTCACCCAGAGAACCGAGGGTTGCCGGTTTTGAGAAAAGTGTCGTCCGTGAAATCCTTCAGGGAGGGACACCTTTTAAGCATCTCCTCTGCGCTATCGGGCTTTCCCATGCGTAGTAGCAGACTGGCCATGTTGCTGTACGAATTTCCTATTCTGTCGCTGTTGGCTTCCAAACGGATATCGATGGATCGCTGAAGGTGTTCGTGTGCCTTCTCTAGATCTCCAATCTCCGTATAAGCGAGGCCAATTTCGACGAAGCTGGCTGCCAAGAATGAATCGTTGGCTGGAAGTAGTGCAGCGCGGCAGTTGTATGCTTGTTGGAAAGATTCTAGAGCGAGCTGTGGGTGGCCAATATCGAGCTCGATGAGGCCTTGCAACTCGACTGCGCTTGCATATGCTAGTGTGCTGCGATCGGAAAATACCCCCATAGCTGCCTCTATGTAGGTTCGTGCAATGCTGTAGTTCTCCCGTTCATAAAGATACCTGCGATAGTTAGTCAATGCCTCATCTTTCGCCTGAGGTTACTCGCCAGCAGCAACGCAACAGAAGTTCCGCAAACTTCTGGTTATTCCCCACGTAAACCTTGAACTTTTCGTTTTGCTTCAAAAGATGGTGCAGATGAGGGAGGCTTCTCTCGCATCGTGACCATGAAGCGACCTGATGACCCAGGTCGGCACTGTATGTATCAGGGAAAGTAGGGAATAGAAGGTCGACGACTGCGCTAAAGTATGCTTGCCGTTCCTTATCACTCATTCGTCTGATGACAGCTGTCTGGACAAGTCGATGAATAGAAAGCACTTCATTTTCCTCGGACTTTTGAACGAGCCCGGCTTGGAGCATCAGTTCTTCTGCGTCGAGAATCCTGTGCGTTTGTCAGTGTTGTACCGTCCGACATTATACGCGGAAGGCTTACTCCATCTCGTCCTGTAGGAATTGGAATTCGGGATTTTCTATATTGCCCGACTCTTCTCTCAGCAAAGACTCTTGAACGCAGTCGGGATCGAGGAAGGACAGCAACATGTGAAGCGCCTTTGCATTCCCAGAAAGCTTCTCCAGGGACATTTCCCACACTGTTGCCAGAGTGTGACTATAGTCCATATTTCTCGCGCTTTTGCTGTCAATACTCGCTGCGTTCCTCTCGTACAAGGCTAGAAATTTATGCAAGGGAACTTTTCGATGTACTATGAAGCCACCTATTTGATTGAGTGCGAGGGGTAACCCGCCGAGGGCAGTAGTAATTGCTTTTGCTTCCTTTTGATTGGGATGTGACGTCTGGTCAGCACCGAGGAAGTTCAGCAGCGCGGCCGAACCAGTTTCAATATCGAAAGGCGTGACCAGACAGCCATCTGAAGCAAGGGCAAAGGCCGCATTCGAGTCCCGGCTTGTTACCAGGATGGAGCCCGAGGAGCTTCTCGGCCAAGCATGCTTCGCTAGGTCCAGGTCGTCGGCATTATCTAACACCAATAGCCATTTACAACCTAGGACAATGTCAGATTGAACCATACCAAGTGACTTGCAAGCTTACTCGTCTCCGCGAGCCACTCTTTCACCCCCAGCATTACTGCATTGTCGTCCGTTTGCATATCGGCTTTAGTCAGTCCAAGGCATTTTGAGATCTCTCGGTAACTCTGTCCAATCGTGACAAGATTGTCTGCAGCAAGCCAGAATATTGCATCATACTTGGTACGCGAATCATTTGCGTATCTCAGAGCGATCTGTGTTTTTCCCACCCCGCCCATTCCATGGAGCGCAAACGACCGTAACGTGGCTTTTCCTTCCACTTCCAACGAGCTTTGAATCTGGGAAAGGATGTCCTCGCGACCCCAGAATCGAGGGTTTTCGCTGAAGGGAAGGTAGTAGTATTTTTTCTTCTCATATGCAGGTGGCTGAGCGCGTAGGTTCGACATGACTTCGAGGACCTCGTGATATTTCCGATTATCGCGGCGCATGCGCGTGAGCTCGACCTCGCTCTCAACGGTTGAGGAAAGCCGTCGTATCCGCTGGATCGTCCTGTTGAAATCTCCACGCAGCTCTGGCCAGGAGTTTCGAACAACGTGAACTTGAGCAATCAGCAATCGGAAGAATGTGTCTAATGTGCCTGAGTATTGAGATCACCTACCGTGCTTATGGCCGCGGAAGAAGTGAATCGCTCGCGCATAGAAGCAGATGACCTCCGTATAGACCGCTAGCAGTGAGTCCTCCAACTCTTGACTCATTGGGAGCGTCCGCTCATACGTCCGAAAACGGGGCAATGTCAGACTAAGCTCCTCAAGCATGTCGCACACTTCCTGAAGCGTGTTACCAGTAGAAGAAGCCAGCTGCGCCAAGGTAATCAGAATTCGAACGAAGAATATAACGAGATCATAAAGCAACGCACTGTTAGTATCATTCGGATACTGCCCCAGACCACAGCTGTCATCATAGTGTCGGCACCGAAGGTGACGGCCAACACGGCGGAGAAATCATTAACAAATTTGATCATCGGCTTCAGTCTATTGACGGATTCCAGTGCCTTCCTCCCTGGAGATCCGACAGGCTGCAGCAATTTTGCATCTTGAAGCACTTCTTCAACACCTTTTGTCCCCAGGATCATTGCAAGGTCATCGTCTCCGGCAAGCTCTTCGCGGAAGTTCTCGAGAGCCTTCTGCCAGAGAGGGGACGGTTGGTCCTTGAGTGGTGGTTGAAACATTCTCACCCGACAGCCTTGAGACAAAGTAGTAGTAGATAGGTCTGTGGAATTTGGGATGATAGTTGAAGGCTTCAACGGCAACCGCCCCGCTAACACATCTCTCGTCTCATGTGGGTGATAAAAGGTGGCGCAGTGGGGTTTGACAGGGACAACACAATTAATGCTGCCGCCAAATTAAAGCATATGCAAAGCTATTGGATGAGCTGCATTCTATTGAATTTAGAGGCATGGTCGAGCTTATCGCGGCTTTATTACTGGCGGCGTCTCCCAATTCCCCGCCACGGCGGCTGTTGAAGCAATCCCACTAGCTGTGATGGATTTATCCTTGTCTGCTACATGAGACTAAACTCTGCCGATCTTATGGGCCATCAGGTCAACGCATCTGCTTTACACTACGCACATAGAAGACCAAATGAGGTGGTCTCATGCTCCTGATTCTGTTGCGTACCTTTTTACTGGAAAGGACGAACAGGTATATGTGGATTGTGGACTATATAATCCCCCATGTCAAGCGCGAGTCGGTAGGGTATTTAACTAAATATAGCTACAAGCTGGCTGCAGTTCAACAAGGTCTCGGTATGTCTATGACAGCCTCAAGACATTGCTGAGCTGCAGGCCCAGCGGCAAGCAGGCATGTGGGAAGAACGTGCATATCAGGGCCACAGTTCGAGATTGACATGAAACAGAGGAGAAGCGGTGCTTATATTGCTTTTCCCTTTCTGTTTTTAAGTAGATGATGGCTTTATCATTTCTATATATCCCCGAATGCTCATCCTGCTGAATACACGCATTATCAGGGAAGTCCCAGCAGACTGCCTAGTGTGAAATATGGTGAGGTTTCAGTGGAAGTCTCGTCTCCAGAAAGACCTTCAACAATCAAACCTTTTTGGTAAGTGAAAACACACTCAGCATCTGCATGGGTGCATGTCTCTGAACAGAACAGTGACCGCCGGCCAGCTCGCTTCTCATCATGGTAAATATGGTCTCCTTTCGGCACAACAAGCATCCCACCAGTCCAAATGTCAGTCATGGTACAGTTCGTGGCTGGCATGGCAACTACAGCAAATGCCACCGGACTTCTTCGACGTATTGGATTGCCAGGAGGTGAAGCATGGCCATACGCAGCGGCCTGAGCAGTTTGAAGGAGCCTTCTTCAAGATTGCCGATTATCTCGTCACCAGGGAGTCGATCACTTTCGACGAGGTGATGACACTGCTCTGCGAAGACGGTATTATGAGGGAACTCAGTCACGGCAATAACGATCATATCTCGGCTTTGTATCTGATTCTCTGTATCGTGGGCTGGCAAACAATGCTCTTTAAACCGCGGTGCATCGATCATATGCATTTCGAGATTCACGACGAGCAAGGGGGCTACAGAGGCGATGCATATATGTGTCTGAAGCTAGAGGTAGCCAGTTGTACGCGAATGCCCCTGAGTGAGTTGCTAATGGGCTTCGGGGTCCTCTTGCCGTCCAAAAACCTCTGCCTGAGTGATGATGAGGCGAGCCGAGAGGCATTCCAGCGAAGGGTAGAGGTCAACGCAAAACGCTTCAATGCACACTTTCTTACTTCCATTGCTGGTGTTCGGTTGAAGTGGGTTAACACTCTGGCGTGTCACCTGGAGTATAACCCTGCCACTAAAGAACTGTTTCTGTTTCGCTTTCCTTCGTTTTTCCTGTCTTGCCCTTCGCATTCTTCGGGGGCAGGCAAAAGAACAGTCTTGCAGTCATGTGCCACCACGAATAGGTTCCATTGTCAATGGGCAACAGAAAGCGAGGTTGGCTGCTTGCTTAACGAGATTCTACTGTCCTATCGCCTCTTATTCGGACAAACGAAGAAGTCACGGGCGTTGTTTCGATCCCTTGATCTCTTCCGTGATGTCCCAAGGGCGGTGGCTGATCCGCTTCTTCCAATCCTCTGTGGGAAGCAGTCTTGTCAGGGGTTAATTCCTTTGGAAACTGCAGAGTACTATCTTCCCAGAGACTTTCCGGTCCTTCGGTATCGACTATCAGTGCTGCAGGATCATCTGGCGCGGGCCACGCCCCGTAAATGGGTCCAGCTCTGGCGTGATAACAGAGATTCCGCTCACTGGTTGACATTCTGGGCTGTCATCGTCTTTGGGGCGCTTGGTACGCTGCTGGCTCTGTTGCAGGTCATTTGCAGGCTGTTCAGATTGCTTTTCGTTGATGAAATGACATCTTTTTAATCAAATTGTAATTCTATTGATTCTCGATTCTACATCAAACACTTTATAACTAATTCATCATTGATTAGCCAATCGTGTATCGAGATATGCCCTACTGCATATCCCCCAGAGCCACCCTCATCCTCGCACTCCACTCGTCCCGTTTGATCCGCAACAAAATCAAAGGTATCCCACTGAGAAGACAGAAGAGACAGGCTGCTGTAAAGGACCATCCAGTACCGATAGCATCGAAGAGAGGCTGCGCAATCACCGCACTCACACAGGACAGACTGTTCCGCATTAGATTGTTCACCGCGACGCCCATAGTTGACCTCTTGGGTGTGAATTCCGTCAGCATCGTCATGGTCACATTGGTGAGGATCATTCCCGCAAAGCCGTAGAAGAAGTTGCCAATCAACTACATGTCCTTAGTTGCCAGTTACCCAGATGCAAGACGTACTTACCGGCACCAGCCAGAATGCATGCTTGTCCGCCGTCCACCCCCACCACAACAATGCCCCCGGAAAGAGAATACCCGCCAGCAAGCAGTTCTCGCCGAGCCGGTCAACAGGATGTAAGATGAGATTGCCATCATCGTCAAAACGTCCTTCTTCCCTCGCTGTCCGTTTCATGATATAATCCTGCCAGCGGCCGCCAATGATCGCGCCAAACAGCATGCCCAGGCCGGCGGGGATATACGCCACTCCAACAATCACCGAGCTCCACGAGTACGGCGGCAAGGCAAAGGTATCTTCGATGGAGACGCAAATGAGGTAGTACGTTGCAAAGACAATGCTGGTGTAATACACGGTGATGAGGATGGGCGGGTACTGCAGCAAGGTAGCCGCCTGTATGGGCTTCAGCAGGAGATTCACAACTCTGCTCGCGCGTCTCGTCGACGTAGCTCGCTCATTCTGCCGGCTCTCTTTGAGGTTCATCGCCGTCTCTGGCATGAAGAACAGCATGATGAGGAATACAGCCCACCCATAGATCACCATGAACCACTGCGTGCTGCGCCAGCTCCACCGGGTGACCAGGGAGCCGCCAATAATGGGAGCGAACATGGGCCCGAGCATTGGGCCGAGCATGAACGCGCCCATGGCTTTGCCTCGTTCTTGTGCCTCGAACATATCGGAGATGGTACCGGCGCTGACGGCCTGGAGGGAAGCGCTGGCGGCGCCGCTGAGGAGTCTCATTGCGACGAACATGCCGATGTTGGGGCTGATTGCGGCTAGGATGCTGAAGAGGCCGAGGAAGAAGAAGGAGAGTAGGTAGACTAGTCGACGGCCGTAGAGTTCTGCCAGATGTGACCACCAGAGAGGTGTGATGGCGACAGAGAGAGAGCCAAAGGCGATGGACAAGTTCACGACGGAGACGGTCGTATGAAGATCCTCGGCGATCATGATGAGGCAGGCTGTCAATGAATCAATAGCAGTTCCGTCAGCAGAAGCAATTAGGGAAGACCTACGGAACAAGACACCGCTGCTCAGAGGCACGACCAATCCGCCCCCTGCCACTATAGCCGTCAAGAACCACTTGCGTCCCGCAGGATATTGTCGCGGGTCTTCGATCGCTGGGACGAAACACAGAAAGGATAGAAATCCTCGACGAACATGACGAGAACCATGTCGATTCTCTTTCTCTTGCTCATTATCGGCTTTTTCCGTGCGGCTCAGTGACTCCAGATTCTCCCCATCCGGTGCAGATTGAGGGCCTTCGCTTCTGTGGGCTGTCGGACATGTTGGTCTCCTATGTCAATTTAGCGATTTCGAAGTCTGATACTGTTATGTTGTTTTCATCAGCTCTATATATACTGATCATACCTCTTCCTATCTATATCCTTATTCGTATACTTCAGAGTACGTTATAATAGCGTCGCACGAGCTGTGGGTCCCCTCGGCCGAGCCAACCCTGGTCTCCTCCATCGAGTCTAAGCCCTAAGGCTTCGGAGATCCTCTACGCTACAGCGGCCCACATCCTCTCCATACCGTATGCTCATCTGTCATAAGGTGGTATACAGTATTAGAAATAGGTTGCTGAGCGGTTCATGAACCGAATTGTACATTTTATGTCTGAACAGGTCGGACATTCATTGCTACACTCAAAGCACCAACCCTAGGGGAATACCCTGGACATGGATAGAAGCGTGAAGTCTGAGTTAGACCAGAGTCAGAGGTCTTGCATGAGCTCGGAATGAATGATACAGGGCGTAGAGAAGCAATCACAAACGTATTATCCTCATACAGGCTGTTCATCAGACAAGGATCAAACAATGCAATATCCCCAGCCCCTCAAAGCCCAAACTCGAGAGATTACAGCGGAGCTGCGTGAAGTGAGCCGGTGTTCGCGCGTATCAGAACATCAGCTCCACTGTGAAGGACTAGAGAACGACATCGGGTCAAAACCGGCAAGGTCAGGGAAGTCAAAGTCCCCCAGGTTCGTAAAGCCCAGAAAGTCCGCAGCCTCTAATTCCATCCCCGCCGAACCCATGCTATCCGCCCCTGATCTCATCAACGTCGGATTGTCCCGTGGTCCTGGTGTGAGACCGGCTGTTCGATTGTCCTCGGCGAGATCGAGATTCTGGGATCGAATTCGATCAATCAACCAGATAATGACTGGCCATGCCCCGGTGGTGTGCTGGCCGCGGATTTCATGGATCGCGTTTGTTACCTGCAGACCCCTCTGTCGAAGATCGGCCCACTCCGAGGTTTGAAATACAGGGCTACGAACCTCAGAAAGGACGTAAAGGATGGGGTAGAAGCCGGCATGCGAAGAAATATGCCATTGGAAAGGTTCGCAGTCCTTGCTTGAGG